AATTAAGCACAGCATCGATAACAGAAGTAAGTAGAATGTTTAATGCTATTTGATGCTGCTGTGTTTTACTTTTAATTCCCTATTATTTGCTATGTTTCACTTCCTATTTGTGTCTATATACAATATGTTATAAACGTGATCTGCTCTGTTGGTGGCTTTTACTCACTATAAAACTTTTCATTTCAATTATATAAGCAAATAAAATCCTAACTTTACATTACAAGCAGTTTAAATTAAAAAAGAAGTTGTAATGATCTCTAAAGAAAGGAATCATTGTACACTATGAGTGTACAGTAATATCACATTATGTAAACAGAATAGTAAAGTTCTTGTTAATTTCATTCTCACATACAGTGTAAAGAAAAGCAGTTCAGTATTTGAAATTGATTGTAAACACACCAGGTAAAGAAAACAATGAGAGTGATGATATACTGGGTAATTGAAATTTGATTCTAAATTTATGAAGCAGTATACCAACAATAATTTAAAGGGTAATTTCTAGACAGAATCAGCTGCTAATAGAATGATGAGAGCTATCTGTTGTCGAGATTTGCTGTTTTGTACCTTGCGGTTTTATGAAATAAATAAGATTTCCAACTTTATCTCAATTATCCATTTGATATATGTTTTTTTTTTATTTATAGGCCGAGAGATAGATCCGTTCTGGTACGTTGGCCGAGGAGTAAGACCGATTGGTCGGTTTGGGAAAAGGCAAATGAACAGCAATGGCCACCTGAGAGCTGAGGTCAATAAACTGGACCTTCTCCTGAAAAGTCTGAGAGACCATGAAGGGTGGAGCCTAGGCAAGACATTATTGGGAGAAGAATCAGATTGGTTACCATGACAACAGTAGCACTGCATCAACACTAATAACATATTACATTATTTAAATAAAAGGCCTCTTGAAATGTGCTTGTTCTAAAACTCCACAACAATGCTATACCTATATCTAATCTGTTGTAAGAAATTGTGTATATATAAGGTCACATTTACACATATACAGTATATCCAATAACTCTTTTCTTAAAATGTTGCATTTTATTCAGCATACTCATTGTAATTTGAAAACCACCAATTATGGAAACTGGATAATTTTATCAGTTTCATAAATGCGAAGAACATGTTAAAAAGGAATAACTATGTGAAGCTCTGGGTGCAATACTCAGTACAGATGTTGCATTCAAATTACCTAAAATTAGAATGTCAGTAAATACAGCATATGTCACTGTAATTTAATTTTTAATGTGTGAAAGCAAGATGGATGGAATTAAGTATTTTGTTCCAGATCAAGCTTACCGCTTTGCTTTCATGTGGTAAGAAAATATGTGGTGATGTGTTATAATGTAATTCTTAAAAAACTAAAATGTACTATGATCACTGACATTTAATCCAATATTTTAGTACACTTGGATTGTTGTATTTGTATTCAAAGTTAGGAATCCCTAAGTAAAAAGGCAATCTTGATTATTCTGATTTTGCCATTTGAATATTGTAATAAATTAGTAATAACAAATGCTACTATATATTCAATTAATTAATATAATTAGATATATACAGATATATGATTAACTAATGTGTTTGAGAACTAATTTAAAATAATGATGATAATAATAATAAAAAATGTTCAAATGATGAGTGATTGATGAATGTGATATTGAAATATAATAAAGTACAAGTTACATTATAGTAAAAGAAAGACATATTTAATGAGTTTGCCTTGCTGGTTGGGTTCCTATACTGTATGTATCCTGTTCTGTAATGTAAGTCACTCTTTCCTTTATTTTGCTTTTGTTTGAATTCTAGGCATCACAGAAAAGTGTATTAATAAATCTATAACACATACATTTTCCAATGTTTTGTACATTTTTTAATACAAACTGATTAGCATTTGCCGCTTCAGTGTACTTGTCACCATAATGTATTGAATAAACTTTCATTTGGTATTTAGCACAATGAAATACATTTTGTTTCTCAATGCACTGATGAGACTGGAGGAATATACATGTAACACTGCCGTGCAAATATTGAATGTGTTTATCTGGCAGGTAGCCCACCAAAGTTTTTATCTGACTAATTACACAAATTGTTAAATTATTTTTTAGAAAACATGGACTGGGATAAGTAAGTAGAGGTTTGCGGGCTCTGAGTTTTGGTATTTATAGGTTATAATCAAACCAAAGCAGACAAAGACAAATACTGACAAACCAAAAATATATCAATCAAGACTTTCTAACCGATGAGCTATGACATTACTGTAGAAGAGAAACATACCGTATATAAATTGTAAAGGTTTGAGTTTCTTGCCTTCAGTCCATGTAAGTATTAGCTTCATTCATGTGAAAGTGTTATTCACTTACAGTATTCATTAATCATTTATATAATATTATTATGTAATAGTATTATGTATAAACATGATTTCAGGATAAACACACCTACAGGGGGTGGACAAAATAATAGGAACACCTAGCAAAAAAAGGGACTCATATTTTGAAATAACTACATCACAATTATAACAGATTCTACACAATTCACATTAATTTCAGTACTAATTACCGATATGTTTCCACTACAAAAGATGTCTTTAACAAATATCGATTTTATTACCACAGAACTGAATCTACACTTCTGTGACCCAGTCTCAAGAAAAATGTATGGTAGGGCTTACATTCTGAAACCACCTGTAACGAAGGCCAACGTGCAGAAATTGGTCTAATGAGCACAAAACCTGGACATTTTTGCAGTGGAGGAAAATAATTTGGTCTGATGAGCCATCTTTCACTTTTTTTACACATCTGGATGGGTTTACGAAGAAATGTGAGGCTATTTCAGGCAACCAGGTCCATCCTATGGTGCAGAGATTGTTTCTTCAAGAAGTTATATTCCAAGACAGTAACAACTCATAAACACTGCTAAATGGATTAAAGAGTTGTTTCCTGAACACCAGGATGATGCCAGTCACCTTCCATGGGTTCCCAATCACCAGATCTAAACATCTTTGAACCCTTATGGGCAGTTCTAAAACATAGATTGAGAGTAGATGTACTGTATACAGTTCCTCCTTCAACTCTCAAAGAACTTGAGGCTTTCCTTCTTGAAAAATGGCCATGGTTAGAAACAGCAACAGATGTTATGAAGGCAAAGGGTGGCCCAACTCCTTATAGATTAATAAATATTAATATGTCACTTGATGTACTGTATCCATTATTTTGTCCACCCCTGTATTTCTTTAAGGTCCGTCATCAGGTAATATTTAAGCAATTATATCACTATCAAGATTAAGGAGCATTCTAATCAATTTAGGATTAAAGCTGTATAAAGGCACAGATCAGTAGAAGGACATAAAACATTTTAAAGACACTACAGTATCTCTCTGAGTATGGTGAGGTCAAACATTAAGAAGTGGAAGGAACCAGACGCTTTGCCTCTCCCTCCAAAATGAGTAGCTGGGCAAGAAGCAAACTCAGGCAGTCAGGAATCCTAACTGAAGCCAAGAGTGAGACTGGAAGAGTTACATAATTCAGTGGCTAAAATGGGAGAAAACCTGCTTCAGACCTAAAACTGGGACTAGAAATTAGTTGTCTGTAGGCAAATAATCCAAAACCTAAGGCCCAAACTATAGTGGAGTGAATTTCAAGGAGTGGCCCAGTCACAATTCTGACTTTAATTCTATTAATTCTCTTCTATTGATAATCTTGAAAAACATTAAAAGTGCTATCCATTAGTGTTCCCCAAACAGCCTGACAATACACTATGATTTCAGTTTTGTCACCCTTCACCCTTTTTTATGAATTGGTCTTATACACTTCAGTTATCACTACCATTCTAAATAAAAGTTTAATTATCTCATCTAAGGCCTATGAATAATATTCTAGTTAATTTAAGTATGACTGGGAAAAGCTTCATCCTAAGGAATTTACTAGTTTATACACATCCTAGCCCCTGTATAATCTTAGTGTCAATATTGCTACAACCCGTTGTACAGCATAGTCCATGTTACAGACTTCATTTATTATTTAAAAAAAACCAGAGCGAAATATTAATTTAATAAGTTTATTAATTCTCATTCAATCCCCTGTTATCTCGAAAACAACCTATCCCTGCGTCTACTGTTCTACAGTTCTTTTATTGTTGTAGTACTGAAAAGGACTGCACTATTGCATTGTGTTTGTGTATAATTCGGTTGTGCACTTTGATGATAGATTCAGTAGCTTCAAAGAATGCTGAAGTGCATTATACAAAATAAAAGTAAAGTGCAAGAAAGTATCTCTGATGCTGAACAAAACCATGTTGTCATGTTTCAGACAAAAAAACGTATTCATGTAGAAGGAAGGGCAGTAAACCTGATACAATATTCTATGGATGGTCTCAGTATGTAAAGTTCCAAGCTTCCAGCATGAAGGTAAATTTATTTGTCCTTTTCTTGATTCTTTTAAAAAATATAAAGATATTTATAAAAATGGGTGCTGCAGTGTAGGTTGACTATTCTTTAAAAGTTATGTTTCTTCAGACAATTTCTGTATCCATGTGTTGTTTTAAACGTAGAACTTAAAAAGTAAAGATTCATTATCTTATATAGTAAGATAATTTGCAAACATATTACAGTTGTGGAACAAACAGTGCTCAGAAAAAATAAACTCCCATAAACACCTACAGCACAGACATCTAACAACAAGTTTAGATTCAATTACTGCACAATAATTCTATTCAATATTGCACGATTTGTATTAAAGTGCACAATTATATTAATGCATAAAAGGCTAGGAATAGTATTATAGTATTTGAAATAGTTTCATGACAGAGTATTTAGTGTAAAGCAATTTTTAAAGGATGGTAACTTTAAGTACTTTTGTGAGTACAGGCATTTTATATATTAGTCACTGAATTGGAAATCATTGTATATGCTCAATGTAAGTCAACATTAATCACCCTTCTGTGTTTTATCATTTCTGGTTCAGAAGAACGTCATTCTTTAAGAACTGAAACACCTCTTACAGTTGCATTCATGTATGCAAACTTTATTCGTTAACGATATTACTTTTTTTCTCAATCAGAACAGTTTGGCACATGGAAACTCTAAGATCAGCTGAGACATTTTTTGCGTATTGAATATTTTTCTAGTAACAGGAAATCAAACAATTAAAAAATTGAGCAACTGATACAGATTTGTAAATCAAGCTGTGCATAGTATACTGTGGTTCACTGCAATCATTCCGAATTTAGCCACACAGTTAAATATTCATATTCATTCATATTTACACTGAATAAAATTATAATTAGTTGCAAAATGTACAATTTCAGTATCCTATGTTATGAACAAAAAATCTGAAAGAAAATAAAGGGTTTTATACAATAGAAAAATACAGGACATTAATTTATTTAATTAAACCCTTGGCTGTGCTTTTCATAAGAATGTTTACATTCATTTCAGATCAGAGACATGCGGCATACCATATATACACACAGTAAATGAACAACTTTAAGCATGATTGTTTTAATATTACTAAATGAAAATGATTAATACGAAGACACACCAAAGGTAACATTCATTTTCTAGAAATCCTTTGACTATCCATCTTAAACCACAATGGGATCATTGAACACAGCAACACAACAAATACATTGTTTTTATATTTTTCACAAAAAACTGAAAAGATTTAAAATTGCAAACATACAAAAAAAGAGGACAGAGCAGCTTTTTATTGTATTATTTTACTTGTTTGAATTAGTGTCCAGTCAAAGTGAGAGCTTCAAAGTGTAAGGTCTGTTTTATTGAAGTCTTTTCTTGAACTTGAAAAACAACACATTAACAAACGTGAAACAATTTACTTTGGTAAATAAAATACTAAGAACAGAAATGCGGTGGAAAGCATGTCTTCAAGTGTCTGTCCTTCTTAAAATCCCCCACTGTGCACCACTTCAAAACAAACTTGTTCCCTATATCAATCCCATACCTAAAAAAACATTTTAAAAGCTGAGTTGTAGCAAAGGAGGGCATATGATATAAATTACTGTACTGTACTGAGGTTCAATGAGGGTGTTTCCAGTATATACTGTACACACAGTGGTCTGACTCATTTTTATTGTCGCCTGCTCTGAGAAAACCCAACACATGCCTTAAAAGGAAATGGTTCCATAGCAAACCCATGCAAAAACAAACTCCAGAAAAAATGGTAATATCTCTTAGGTTAACTTTGTATCAGTTAAGCTATTTTACATATCACAGAATCAGCAGAACATTTACTTTTGTAACTGTAACGCTATCGTCTTTGAGGATATTTTTAGGTAGGTTACTGTTGCTGCTTTCAACCCTTTACACACTTTACAACCAATCATGTTCATAAGTGCAAGACATAATGAAAATGTTGTTCAACATGGTACATACTGTATATTCACTCTCTTAGAAATAAGTTTAGAAAGTAGGAATCAAATAAATCTCACTCAGCATAAGGGAGAAGAAGAAAGAAAAATAGGCAACAAATAAACTCTTAAACCTATTTAGAGGTAATTATATTTATAACATTAGATTAATGTGATAATAATGTTCAGAAAATGTTTTGAACCTTATAGAAAATAGCAATACCATACAAAAAATAGTTTGTTAGAATAATCTTGTTTTAGTTTTTGTAACAGAAAAAAAAATGTTTGCATAAATGTTCTCCTGTAAATGAGGTATTTTGTTAAGTCTAAACATATTATAAATGGCAACACATACTGTACAGTACATAATCTACTCATGAAAATGAACTATTCAAAAACTAAAAAAAATGTCTGAACTAATACCTTGCTGTAGATCCAGGGTCTGTGTTAATAAGTTAATTGTCAAAACATTAAACTGCCTTGCACCTTATATTTTGAAAAATGTTTATCAGGTATACATGATTTTAATGATTTCTCAATATGCAAATGTTAACATGAGAACTGTTACATTACACGTTCACGTTGTGGCCGTGTGCAAACATCATAGACTTGCAAGGGATTCATATACGTATTAAGATGCTTATTATTTAGAATGTGTTCTGCATTTTTGTGGGTGGGTCTATTGCTTACAGGTACATTAAGTTCAGTAACTTCTATTCAGTAAAAGGGAGAGAAAGAAACTATTCAGTTTGTCTACTGTAGTTACAGTATATACAGTTTACAGTAAGCTTCTCTGCATTCTTCTTGTAAATACACATTTGCACTTAAGAGAAATATAAACTGAAATACAAACTGAGTCAGATCTCATGATCAAGGTCCAGATACAGTAAGTAGTGTAGCAATTGAGTCTTTTGCATATTTATAAATTGCTAAATTTGTAGATGGCAATACTTTGGGAAACCTTATTTGTAGCATATGGTACAGAATATTTTGTTTTTAGTGACATTGATTTTAGTGATGTTAAGATCTTTAAAACTGTTTTGTGCTTGAATATACTGTAATATGGACCTTATAACTTTTAACTGTCTGGTTATAAACCGTTAGAAGTAAAATTATTCATTTAGAGCAATTCCATGTGCTAATTACAAAATGACTGTATAAAGATACAGTTTTAGATCAGTATAACAAAGGACCCATGGTTATAAAAAGAACAACTAAAGAGTGCAGAAATTTAAAATGGATCCTGATATGCATTAAAACAATATTTAAAAATGTTTTTTTTAAATATTGTTTTAATGAACTTTTAAAGAAAACAAAAGATGGGGTAAAACCCTGTTGCTGTTGAATCTAAAACTATTTTCTTGTTGTTGTTTTATTACCTAACTTATGTGAAATCAAAATGATGTAATAATTTAATACAGTATTCTGTCAGGAATGTTTGAAAATTCAAGCATTTTAGTAGCATTGAGGAAGATACTGCATAAACTTAATTCCCCATACAACAGATAGCTACATACAGTACAGTATTACATTACAACAGATGAAAATACAGTAGCTGTCATACTTTTTGTCTTTTTACATGTAATATATATATATAGTTGCAATGAACTGAACAGATGCAAGACTCTTGCTTACAATATGAACATGTTTTTCACAACATTAAAAGCTGGCCTTATCATCCTACTAGTCATCTGTCACTTTTCTGGGGTTTAAGGCAGAGAATATCCATCCAGAAAAAAAAACACACACACTGTTGATAAGTTGTTGAGCCCAAGGAGGTATGATAGCAGAGCCTGATTAATAAGACCATTGAGAGTCTTTTGTAGGTCCATTTACTTTTAAAGCCACTGAAGGCTGCAAAATCAAGGCACTGTTGTGTACCACAGAAGGCAGTGTGTTCTTGGCAGTTGGTTATTGTGGTCTCAGAAGATTAAACATGGGTTCAGGCCTAGATTCTTGATCTAGAAATTAAAAAAAAGAAAAAAAAGATTAAAAACGGTGTTATAAATGGTTCCAGTCTACAATGTCTAAAATGAAAGTGCAAAGGCACATTAAAAAAGAAATTGACAAGTGTTTGTTTGCCAGGATAAAAAAATAATAAATACAGTAAATCTCATCTAGAGGCCTATAGACCAGAAGGATACTTTCTTGCCATTTACTGTATCAATATTCATGAATATTTTAATAAATACAGTATTGTGCTTGTATTTAGTAAAATATTATTTTAAAAAAATAAAATTATAAAACATCCCATCACAATATTATATGTAAGGATGTTATTTAATGCTAAAGGGGAAAATTGCAAAAAAAAACCTAAAAAGTCTAACAATTAAACTAAGAAATCATAAAAGAAGCTCCATCTTTCCCTCACTTTCAGTTATAGACTCATTATTTCTGCAATCTTCACTCAACATGTTTTCTTTGAAGCCCTAATTACATCATAGTAATGATTCATTGGCATTAGAATCATACTGTTGAATGGCTTTCTCAAGGCACAAAATAATGGAATCTAATCCCCCTGTGGTCTATGTTATTTAATCACTTTAGTAAGTTTTATTATACATTTTAATGATGATTAAGTAATAAACCACGTGAATGAGCACTGGACTTTTTCTTTAATCTCAAATAAAATCAGATCTAAAGAGTATGTAACTCCCTATAGATTTGTAGACATTGTAGACATACTGTAAATTGAGATTATAAGTAAAGGTGTAAGATATAACACTGAAAATGTTCCTAGATCAGAGGAAATCATAGACTGGAAATTTTATATTCTACTTCTATTCCTTAATGAAGTATTTTTTGAACTACTGTGTTTCACTCAACATTTCAATATATTTTATGCAGAAAAGGAATTCTATAACAATCTTCGAATGAAAATGTTAGTAAAAAAACTTTTTTTTCATTTAATCAGCACAAACAATGGCATAATTTTGTGTTCAGTTTTATATTATAAAGTGTTTAATGTTGATCAATTGCAAAAAATCCCAATTAAAAAGTACAAGGGGTGTACAGGTAAATACATTTGATAGCCACTGTACAGTATGTATGATTGTCACGTTAGACTCACCCATAAAACATTTATGTGATCTTTTCACCATAAACACAACACACAATGTATTATCTATTTGTAATGTTATGAAGCTAAAGTGAAAGGAAGCAGAAACACGTTTTAAACAATGTATCTACTTACAGATTGTAATAAAAAAACTTAATAAAACTGAATATAAAAACCTGTGAAAAATAGACTTACATAAATAAGATTCAAAAGAAAACAAAGAACAAAATATAATAAGCTTAAATGTAGATGAAAAATCTAAACATTTGCATACCTTTCACTGGAGGGGCAGGAAGCTTTCTTCTTTGTCGCCGTGATGTACTGAGGGTTTGTGGCTGCAGATAACAATATCAGATTAGTATCCACATGTTCAACTGACTATCATTTTCCATCTACTGGTTACAGTGGGTTAAAATCATTACCTGAGTTGATTGTTTGTGTTCTTTGTACTTGGAAAATCGTGTACAAGGGGCCACATTTAACCCAGCAGTTTTAAGCGCTGAGATTCTCTGTTCAATATCTGATATCTGAAACAAAATGTTAAAATAACATTAAAACAACAAATATTAAAGAAATCTAACTGATACCCACACAAAACTGAAATCAGTGAAATGCCTGGTATATTATTGTATTTTGGGAGCTGAAATCATAATGGTTCAGAAAGGTTAGTCCTGCAAAATTAATTCTACGATTTGATTTGTTTCTGGAGAATCTAGTTCTTTTCTTTTCATTGGAAAAGCAGCCCAGAGCACCAAGCAGTAAAAAATCACAGAATGTTATTCTGTGCATAAATGAAGAAAAACATTTCAGTAAAAAACTAGAATTGTTGAATGTTTTCTCCCACGCCAATTTATTTAGATGTTGATTACATAACTTGGATTGAATTATACCCCTGCCATGAATTTAAATTACTAATTGTTAATCATCAAATCTCACCGTTTCTATTTTTGCACCAGTACGGTGGTGAAAGGGCAAGATATACCTAATTGGTGTACCTGACAACATTGCAAACTCAAGTCACAGGGGGCCTGTTGTACCCTGGCTAACAGTTTTAACTGATTGTTACAGCAATTAAATAAAAGAACACACATTTTAAATACCAAGACATCAAATTGTTTGTTCAGGTGGCAGATGTTGGTGAATTGTTAACCATATTTAATTGTGCACTATCAACACCTAGAGCATATAATCTCAGAAATGGTCTGGACTAATGAGTAATGAAAGAACAGCCTGCACAAAAACTTATCGATCCCTTTGTCTGGTTTACAACTGTATGTTCCTGTCTTCTAAATAAAAAAAGGAAGACTAGCATCAGCTCCAGCCAGTTTCAAAACTATAAAAAAACATTTATTAATGGACTATGAACCACTAATCAACTTTGGACAGCTAAATCTCCTAAGACCCAAACATACAGTAAGCTCTGACATTCAAAGTACTGTACATTAAGTACAGTAATTAGACAGGCAAACTCTCCAGGGTGAAAGGTTAATCCCAAGATCACAGTGAAGCATTTACCTAAGAACACTTCCCAATCAATATTGCATTGACACATCCCCGTGCAATTGACCCAATTCATCTGCAGAGCTGCAGTTAACATTTGAGGAAATGGACCACACCTGGAGTTCAGCCTGATGGACCTGCGCTGCGGCACTTGCCACTTGGTCTTCTAAGTGAGCAAGCTCATTTTCAGTGGTGACACTATTGATACTGCGGGCACACTCCTCCAGGTTACCCAGCTGTCCTTCCAGTCCATAGACAGAGCCAGCAGCCAGATAGACCTGAAACGACAAAGCATATTTCTGGATAAACAATTCTTGAAGTATTGGTTTTTATCACTCCTCCAGGTGGTGGTGATATGAATGGGTAAACTGTTCTGAAGCAACAATATAGAAGGGAAAACATCTATTAATATGAAATAATGTACATACAAAATGTGGAATGGAAAACATGCGCTATCAACACCCAATTTCATTCATCCTTACATTTTCCTCCAATGTGGTAAGATGTTCATCCAGTTTTTCAGTGTCTGTGCCGGCAGCAATTGTGGTCTTTCCCATCAACTCAGAGAGGCTGTCATTGTCACCTGCAGCTTCTTCAATAAGTTCCTCTGTTGCATTGAGCACCTTGAGTACCTCAGTCGTAATGTTGCACAGAGTTGCTGCAGAATACTTCTGTTTAAAGCAGATGCACAGAAATTAATGTGGTTATAAAATGTCAATTGATCTTCATGTCATTGCTTCTTGGTAGCCATAGGTAGCTCATTCTTCAATATGACAATGCTTTGCCCACACAGGCAGAGTTTCGCAAAATATCTCTTTGCATACAGAAGGTTTAAATGCTTAATTGACATTACTAATGGCCAACATAAACCCAATCGGAAAATCACAGAGTTGGGTTACAGAGCTTTGCAGGCCTTCTTCATTGGCCAAAGCTTGGGAAATTTCAGTTATGTGTCAGGGAACAAAACATTTCTTATCATATAACATTTAATATAACATTTGTTATATGACCCTTGCATAGTTTCAGGACTCCTGTTATGACACAGCCAATCTATTCTTTCATGAACTTTGGTTGTTTCTTCAACTCAGTTATGAACTGAACAAACATTTTTCTACACAGAGGCATAAAATGTTTTAACTCGCAAAACTAAATGCATAGATGCCATGATTGCCTATTGTATTTTCATATAGACATTATCACAGATTTCTGCTGTGATGTTTCCATCCATCCAGTTGCAGGGGAAGCTGGAGAATAAGCAATCAAGCAACAGGCACAAGGCAGGATACATCCTGGGTGGGATGCCAGTCCATCACAGACTACATATACAGTGGACACAAACACAGACACTCACAATCACATGTGTACAGCATGTGTGCTCCATGGCCAGTTTTCCCAGACTACCAGTATACCTCTGGAGTGTGGGAGGAAACTGAAGCATCCAAAGGAAACCCATGCAAAAACGGGGAGAACATACATACTCTTTCCTGATAGCACTTTAGGAATTGAACCTCAGCACTGCTTATCACTGTGCCACCCTGCCTCCCCAAAACTGCCTTTTATTGCCTCTCAATAATTTTGCTATTATAATTTAAAGATAATAAGATTTCTTTTAATAGACACACAGTGTAAGTTAAAATGATGCATCTATTTGTTAAAACTACAGGTTTCACCAAACTACTGTACAGTATATGTCATTGTATTGCTTTTGAAAATATGCTTCCTGCATTTGAAAGTGCAGCCATCAGGATTCATCAATGAAAACTCGTTTACTTCAAATAAAATGATCTTCAGTTTACATGTTGGCAAGTATGGTCAATGTTACAATTTACACTGTAGATATTAAAAAAAGTGTTCACTTAATGCAGTTTTTAATAAGTAACAGTGGTGAGAATGACATTGCTTGATCAAAGCTAACAAAATGAAAAGGTGATATACAGGTACATACTGTAAGACTGTAGGCTGTCATGAACTGAAGATTCAACGAGGGACCTTCTGAAAAGCTACTATAATTACATTACATGTTCTCCACAGGAAAAAAAATACAAAGCTTGCTATATTCCTTATGGTCACCTAGAAACAAATTAATGCTTGTGCCTTTGTGTGTCAGTGGTTGATGTCTTTAACTTCCCACAACGTCAGAATTTAGACCTTTATTCAAACTCTCCTCAGGTTTAGATAAGTAATCAATAGATCAGAAATGATGTGAAAATTGTAATGAGTCAAACACTCCCACATTTAATTCTGCTTGGTTCTGATTGGTTACAATTCAGCTAACATACCTGAATTAGTGGGATTCTGAAATTGGTACAGAGTTTATACAGATTAAAAACTCTTGTCAAACTCAAATTAGCCTGTGAAAGAATGCTGAAACAAAACTGAAGAAGACATATGCATGCACAGGATATTTGTCCCCCACGGTTAAGGTTATTTATGTTTTAAAAATAACATGAAAATTCATACCTGCAACGATTCATATGTAGAGTTCTCTAAATCTGTTTATCATTTTGTTCGCTACCATATACTTTTCAGCTTTTTACTTATTTCTTGATTTTCCACATTCAGTGACTTGTAAAAATATTCACCCTTTAAAAGTTTTCAAATTTTGCTGGATTACATATCTTTTTTTTGAATCAGTATTCTTATTGCAAATGCGCATGCTGAAACAAAACATTTTTAAAATCAAAGTTGTTTGTCAGCAGACTGCTTATAGAGAGTCAAAAACTGAAATAGGCAGCTTGCATAAGTATTCAGACTCCTGTGCTCTGGCATCTCGGTTTACACAAGTGAAAGAAATTGCCCTAAGGACAATATAATTGCCTTGCCATTGGCCTCTGCATGTTCACCGCTGAAGTGACTGTCACATTTAGTAGATAGAAACTCCAGTCTGTTAAGGGATCATTGGTCGGGAAGAGAATCTGAAGGACAGATATGAAAATAAAGACTAAAGAGCATTCTAAGGAAGTCAGAAATAAAATGGTTAAAATGCATTATTATTAGGAAATGTGTACACAAATATCAAAGTGTTTGGATATTTCAGTAAGTACTGTTGGCAAAAAGGTGAATGTCCTTGAGTGGTCCAGTCAAAGTCCTGACCTCAAACCCATTAGGAATCTGTGGCATAATGGGAAAATTATTTTAAGTTTTTTTTTTTATAAGTGCTGTCCAATAAACGTGAATGAGCTGGAGCAAATCTGCCAAGAGGAATGTGAGAACATCAGCTCTAACCAGTGCGCAAAACGGGCAGACATCTACTCCAAAAGACTTAAAGTGGACAAAAATGTCTTTACTAAATATGAATGCGTAGAGTCTGAATACTTATGCAAGCAGCATAGTTCGGTTTTTTAATTTCTTTAGATATTTGCTGACAAAAACTAATTTTGGCTTCAAATATTTTCTGTTTGAGCATGTGACTTCGCAATATAATACTGATTCGAGAAAGGATGTGTAAGTATTATTTGTAATCCAGCAACATTAGAAAACTGTTAAAGGGTTTGAATACTTTAAAAGTTACTGTGCTTGTTTTTATGAACCTGTCTGAGAGTTATATTGCCCTTACTCTATAACGGATCACACTAATTATAATTATATTAAGAACAGTGTAAATGCTACACTTTGTCTTTAGTTCTTAAGAGTGAGGCAGTAGCTATGTTCTGTATGTCCAGCTTTTCATACAGTTACTGTGTTGTGTGAATTTGTGAGATTGTACCTTAACACCACTAGTCAAGCTACATTAGCCTCCAATGTGAAATTGGATATCATAATGCATGACCTACAAATGAGTTACAAGAAAAGAATGTGTAAGACCTATTGGTAATGCAAAATGACCTTTTACATTCCCAAATAAGACATGTTCATTGAACAGTCAGAACTACTTACAGCAGTCTATAAAGACTAGAGCACACAAAATAAATTCGGGGCAGGGAAAAATGGCCTGAAAAGGTGATATATCATCATTTTTGTTTTGCAGATTTTTTAGTTGATCAATACAATTTTAACTTGATTGATACAATTATTTGTTGACTTTAAAGTAAAACATGCAGAAAGGAAAACATTTTAATGGAATCTGATATTGCATTTTTTCGTTCGTTTCTTTTACACACGTTACACAGTTACAATGAATGAATTATTACGATAATTTAAGTATTGATTACTGAACTATTCTTTAGAGAGTAAGGACTGAGTTATCGGGATAGATTGGTTGCATTAATTCTTTAATTTACTTATAAAGGCAATATAGGGCGGAGTGGTGGCACTGTGGCTAAGGCTCTGTGCCTGTGGCTGGAAGGTTGCTGGTTCAAATCCTGCAGCTGGCAGAGGAATCCTACTCTGTTGGGCCCCTGAGCAAGGCCCTTAATCTCAACTGCTTCAGGGGTGCTGTACAATGGTTGACCCTGTGCTCTGACCCCCAGCTTCTCTCACTGTCTGTGTCTCATGGAGAGCAAGCTGGGGTATGTGAGAAGACAAATTCCTAATGCAAGAAATTGTATATGGCTATTAAAGTGATCTTATCTCTATAAATGTACAACACTTGCTGATGTGTGAAGCTGCTAAAGGCAAATGCCAAAGTTACTAATTTATATAAGTTATTTATATCAGTAAGGTACCTTGAGCCTAAAACCACCCAGGTAGGTGGCAAAGAATGAAATGTAGTGAACAGGATGGTATCACAATTCAATTAAGGCTAGAATCATAGGCACATGCCTTAACCGATTCCTAAACAGTGGTTTAGTCCAATTCAAATTAATATGACTTGGCCTTGAAGTTTATTAGGAAAACATATTGAAAGTTTATTTGACGTAACTCGCCCGGTTGAGAAAACTGCATCCTGCCACCCCCTCATTTCAGGAGTATTGAGCTATGGAGCTGCTGCGAGGCTGAAGGTGTGATGGAGGGGGCTGAGAAACAATTAGCAACAGGGGTGCTCAGGAGGCTAGATATTAAAATGTAGGAGAGCAGAAGTGTAGTATGATACTACAAAACTCCATTTGTAGTATCTGGCATGTTGCTGCTATTACTATGCTTTTCTATCAAAAATAAAAGTAAAATATCATCCTCCCATTCATCCTTCCATTTATCCATTCATTACAACACAATTGCTTCAAATATATTTAGTATAAATATGCCTCTGATGATGTTGTTCCTGGAGGTCCTGCCTTTGGGTACTAACCTGACCTTTCAGTTAGCAACCAGGGATTGATTTTGCAGACTGTTACTTCTGGTGTTAATGTACAGTATGTGCTATAATTAGGAAAGCTGTTAATGGTGGCAATCTGCCATGATATAAATGCTGTTCAAGACAGTTAATCCTTGCTCTTAATTAGTCACATGGAAGAATGCTCTGTGTTGTAGCAAAATGAAATGCTAACTTAAACAAGTCAACACAGTAACACAACAAGTTTCTTGCACTGGTCATGTGTCATATAGTTTCAATTAAGATTCAATCATGTAACTACTGTTAAACACTGAATCTTTTTCAATTAAATGTAAAATGCAACACACAGTTTATTTTTCCAAAAAGATAAAAATGTGCAAAGATGTTTTTTTTTTTAAATGACAGGAAAGTTATTATCAACATCATTGCATTTATTACTGTTCAATGGAGTGGCTAAAATGTATTCAGACAATGAGTTTTGCATTACTGGGCTATTTCCAGTATTTGGGTGTTTAATATATTGACAAACATATTATTTAAACTCTTTTGTTTATAATTAATATATTTTGCCTGGATAGCTGTGGACACAATAAAACTATGAGCAGCTACCACATGTCTTGGAGAAAGGCTTCAACCAAGGGAGTCAATTATTTATTTATAGCACTGAAACATATTTTTTAATATACATTTTTATATAGCAATGTTGTAAATTAATTATGATAAAGCTGTGTATTTTTTATTATTAACACCTTTTTTACTGCTTTGAAATACTTTCTAAATGTCTGATATTTATTTTTCTTACAGTACAAATTACAGTACCTCTAATTAGCAGGTGATACAGGAGCTGGGCAGGAGCAGGAGGGGCAGTGCAGTGGCTCTGTGGCTAAGGATCTGCACCTGTGGCTAGAAGGTTGCCGGTTTGTTACCTGTGGCTGACAGACGAATCCTACTCCTCTGGGGCCCTGAGCAAGGCCCTTTACCCCAACTGCTTTTAATAATAATAATAATAATAATTGCTTACACTTATATAGCGCTTTTTCTGGACACTCCACTCAAAGCGCTTTACAGGTAATGGGGACTCCCCTCCACCACCACCAATGTGCAGCATCCACCTGGATGATGCGACGGCAGCCATAGTGCGCCAGAACGCTCACCACACATCAGCTATCAGTGGGGAGGAGAGCAGAGTAATTTAGCCAATTCATAGAGAGGGATTATTAGGAGGCCATGATTGGTAAGGGCCAATGGGAAATTTGGCCAGGACACCGGGGTTACACCCCTACTCTTTTCGAGAAGCGCCCTGGGATTTTTAATGACCACAGAGAGTCAGGACCTCGGTTTTACGTCTCATCCGAAGGACGGCGCCTGTTTACAGTATAGTGTCCCCATCACTATACTGGGGCATTAGGACCCACATGGACCACAGGGTGAGCACCCCCTGCTGGCCCCACTAACACAAGCTTTTGGGGGCACCGTTTAAATGGCTGACCCTGCGCTCTGACCTCAAGCTTCTCTCCCTGTCTGTGTGTCTCATGGAGAGCAAGTTGGGGTACAATATGTGAAAAGACAAATTCCTAGTACAAGAAATTGTATAGGGCTGATAAATTAATCTTATCTTATACAGTACATGTACAGTACATATAAAATGACTTTCACATGGGTCACCAATACTGCACAAAACCTTGTCATTTTCTGGATTTTGGGGATTTGTCGTCATCAGTAAACTCTCTTCAAGTTCATTTCATTAAAAGGTGGGAAGATGAAGGTGAAGAAAAAAGCAAATAATTAAGGTTGTAATGAAGAAGGGGCACCTTTGATCAGTGAGAAAAACAAGACCCATTGATCACCGATAACAGGCTGCTAGAGAACTGTTGGATTGTAAAAAAGGAACACTTGAGATACAGAGAGTGGTACCAGGCCCTATCAACACTCAAGTGCATTACAAAAAACTTTTAAGCATCAATTAGACAAGAAGAAAGTCAATACTGAAAAAAAATCAATGTGTCTCTCTCTTCAACACACATTCAGAGTACAAAGGGACTGAAACCTTAATTAAAAGATGTGGTTTTCTTTCTGTGCTAAACCTTAAAGGTCTCAGAATATGTTTAGAGCTTTCTATCCAAAGAAATGGCTGTTCAAACATATATTCTCTGTATGCCATTGCCATTTTTTTCTTTTGACATGTAATGCTGTCGTGCAAAGAAAATGTTCACAGCCCTCAAGTATGTCTTTAACTTTCAGCTTTCCTAACAATGTATTAATAAATCATTAGCTGCAGCACACTTAGTGACGATGTTAGAGAAGGAACTAATTTGTTGTATGTAATAAGCAAAAATTATAAATCATACTGATGCTTTTCTGTGAAGATCTTGTTTGCTTCCTAGTTTCACTTTTGATGATTGCAAAATACAGTATAGAAAAAATGTTGACATGTAAGATTACTTTAGTAATCTTCAGAAAAGAATTGAAATGTTGATCAATTTTCAGTATAACTGTCCAACTGTTGTGCAAAACCTCCCTTGAATATCTGAATAAAATCAGTGATAGCTTAAATTTTCACCTGTTTTGCTGGTCTAACTGCTGATTTGGGTTTCCCACAACTGTACCAGAGCATGTATTTAAAGCAGAGTGTTTACATACTGTATGCGAATATTTATCCTAGTACATATCTCAACTTGTAGTGGGTTTTCTAAACCAGGTACTATAAATCATATTATCTGTCACATTTCAGATCTTTAGATCTAAAGACAACTTTAAAATGAACATCTCAGTTCTTACCGTCCACAACAATCTCTATATATATAATCTACAGTATATTGTTTATCTATCAAAATATTTAGTTGGACATCAAACATTTATAAATACCATCTACAAACCCCATATTTTATTTTAGAAAATAAAAATTCCACCAAATAATGAGTTAACGGGTCTGAATGCTTAAGAAATTAACATACGATCTTCCTTCCTTAAACAAACACTTTACTTACATGGGCTTGCTATATCAAATGCTACATACAGTACTATATACAGTACATATCTATTTTTTACACAATTCAACTTTCCTCACTAATACTGCATTAGTATATTAGCAGCTTGTTCTTCACTTTTATTTTTCGCTCCTAACTTTTGTTATCTTATGTAATCAGAAATTGTAAGTGTATTATTCTAGTTATTGTGTAGAATTAATATTTTGAGTGCATAATTCATAAGAATATTGATTAATTAATTTTAATATTTTAAACAATAAAATGTTATATCTTTCATTTTATTTTGATTATGTGCACTATGAAACCACAATATTAATATCACAAAACAGCTCCACTTTTCTTAAGTCTTTTCTTTTCTTTCCACTGCACAAGATTTATTTAGTAACATAATACGCAAACTTCTGTTTAGCAATTTTGATTAGTTGATATATGTATTGTTCTACAGTATATACATGTGGATCATGCAAATTATATTTCTCCACATTACTGTTTTATAATACTTTTAAACCAAACAACTTGGATAAAAAGGCAATTCCTTCTTGTTGTAACATACTTAGAAATTTGTGGTGCAAAATGATACAAGTGAAATCAACAAGTTCCAAAACTCAACAGGCTAATATCCAATTATGAGCACTTTTTAAGACTAAATTTTTTTAAGGCAAAATTTAAGACTTTATTCTGAAAATATAGATACCACCAGGAATACCTAGTCTTCAATTTTGTAATTTTGCAAAATTGGACACCAAAGAAAGGATCTAGAAATTATTTCAAGACAAATATTTGTATAGTTATTAAACTAGTTAAATTTGTAGAGGAGAGAAAAGTAGCAGGAGTGAAAACCCACATATACTGTAAAATAACAAGACCTCATTCAGAACATTGTGCTCAGTTTTGGTCATAATACCAGAAAACATATATTAAAAAGTTCAAAGAATAGTAATACAAATGTGTCCTGTTGTCAGGGCACCATTACATATACTGTAGATTAACTAACAGGTTAAGAAGAGAAATCTCTCAGTCTAGAACAAAGGAGATTTAAAGGACATTTGTCCTGTGAACGTGCAGCTGCAAGTCCAATTTAATTTGCAAGCAAATGTGGGTATTAACAACGCAAAAGCAAACAACTGTCAGGAATAATAGCAAACAGCAGCTGGTTTTCAGTTTCATTCAATACACCTCTACAGTAAGTCAAGAGGCAAGGCAACTTATTGGTCCATCCTAGCTTCTGTAACATGAAGTGAACTAGAGAGCACACGATTCCCTTGATGGACGGGACGCTGATCTATTGCCAGGATGACCCCCAAGTCATGCTGGTCCCTACTTTTATAGCTGGCCAGACTGAAGCAACTGGGATAAGTTACCTCACTCAAGGGTGAACCTACAATGTCTTTACCCAGAGCATTTACCCAAAGCCCATCATTATCCATTAGTCCAAAGTCCTACTCACTATACTACCCTTCTCACAGACCACTAATAGGTCAAAGAAATAAAAAAAGAACTGTTAACACTATAAAATGCATATAAACTGGTAAATGGTACATGCATTATTTCACATTACATACAGCACAGCAAATTATTTTCAAGATGACTGGAACTGTAGCTAGTGAAACTATGAACTACAGATATTTGTGATGCAAGAGTTACAGTTAATGAGACTTCTTTCATTTTTACAAATTCCTTTTTAATATCTGGTGGGGAATAAAGAGGGCAAAATGACTTTATGAATGTTCATCTACAATATAGCAAATGCATAAACGCAGCAGGGAATGCTATTATTTTGTTGCATTGAGTCTATCATGTCAAAAAAGAGAGAAAAGCAGCTTATAATGAAGGCATTCTATAACCTGAAAGTGAACTTAGTCGTGTCAATATGCCTCACCTGTTTTAACATTGATGATAAGAACTGAAGCTTCGGTTGAAGGTCTATATGATTATGCCCTTCCTGGTAGATGTATGAGAAAAAAGAAACACAGTACAGAGAAGTTAAAAGTACAGAGAGCCAAGCTTGAACCAAAGAAAAACACAAAGACGCTTTTCAGAACACAGTTAAGGGTATTATGTGAGCAGCAGAGTATTAGTCATGAAAATGAGGGAAAAAAAGGTCCTATTTTCTCTTTTCAAGAGAAAATGAAAGTGAATGACGAAGAAACTGTTCAGATTATTCATACCCTCACCAGTCAGAAGAGTCAGCCATGTGACGTTCAAGAGCATAAAAGCTCTTCAAAACTGTATAGCAATATGGTCATCAAACAGGCCTTTGAGTGAATAAATGAACAGTGAAATAAGGTTTGATCAAAATTATACGTGAATTGCTGTGGTAGAAAGTAATGGGGATTCTTTGATTAGGAATGTATTCCAATGTAATAGAAATAAAAAAAATTATAATAGCATTGAGTCCTGTACAAAATTATGATCTTTGCTAAAAGTTCTAGATTACACTAAATGCTGTGTATTTTTTAGTGAAAAAAATATAATAAACATATAAATTTGTCAAACACATTCCAGGATTCAGATGATGGTATTACTTTTAGTTTAAGCAATGAGAGTAACTATACTTTGTGTATCAGTAAATACAGTATCATTGTTGGAAACAGAGACAATACGAGTGTCTGCAGTAGTGTGTGATTTACCTTTAAATACGTTTATTAGGTTTACATTCCCTTGCTTCAGTTAAATAAGTGGATATGTTTAATTAAAAACACCTCTTCTTTTTAGTGGCAAAACTGAGCCACTCAAGTGAAGCAGATAAAGCTTGTCCAATTTCATGCTTAATTTCTATTCAGTTGCACTGGTATGAGTAACTGGAAATAGTAACAATATGATATACAGAAACAAAAATACCACCAGGAATACCACCAAAGAGTTTTCACATTGGATTACAAGGAGAAGCATCAATAAAACCTCTAGATCAATATTTTTATCAACTTGTTAGGTCAAGGTTGTCCATTCCTGGTGCTTAACAAACCAATTCAACAACTTCTCCCAAGATTTCAGGTACAGTATCGCTTCAAAGAAAGTTAGACAACCTGCAAATACACAGAATACTTCCTGTATTGTGAAGTCCAATGCTAGAAGAAACATCCATGCATCCATTTACAAGCTGTTTTATCCAATATATGTTCACAGGGAAGCTGGAACCTATCCCAGAAAGCAATGGGCAGAAGACATACACCCTGGACGAGACGCTGGTCCTTCACAGGGTACACATAGACACAAAAACCTACTGTATTCATTCACATCAGGGTCAGTTTCCCCAGAAACCAATTAATCTAACAGTGTGCCTTTGGACCTGTGGGATGAAAGCAGAGCACTTGGAGGAAACAGATGTTAACATGGGGAGCATACAAACTCCACACACGGGACACACCAGGAATTGAGCCCAGAGCACTAGCATTGCAAGGCTGAAATCCTAACCACTGTGCCACCATGCCAATCAAACAGTGGAATAGAAAGTTTCTGGTTCTTTCTATTTATAATTTTGAAGGTTTCAGATTTACCTACAGTAAATAAAATGTGCATAAAGTATAAGAATACCAAATAGACTAGCCCCTTTGGAGTTAGATTATATAAAAGTTACAGTAGTTTCCTCTTAAAGGGATACATACTGTACAGTACATGAAAATGCATGATATTTATGATACTGACTTATGATACATTGTGTTTTTTACATTGTGTTTTTAAGAAAAATGTCAAATTTCCAGAGTCTACTCCTAAAACCTGAAGGTACTATTTGAAGACAACAAAGGCAGATTTCTGTGATGTAGCTGTCATATCTGCTGGTTAAGGTGGGACTCAGCAACAAATCTATGGGATCTAAGGAGAACTCATGTGCTGGGTGAGAGAAAGAAATATAAAAGGGGAGCTAGAGGCAGCATGGTGACAGAGAGGCTGTCATTCTGAGCATGCAGGCAGTCATGGTGTTGTGACAAGTTAGAGAATCAGGGAAGCTACAAGCTGCACCATCACAGGGAAGAGAATACAAGCACAGCCTGGTGCAGACAAACAGGGTCTGTGGTCAGAAAATGTATGATACGAAGCCAGGTAGACACTCACCAAGATGTCAAGATGAGCCAAAAGATGTAGTGGAAACAGTGAAGTGAAGTCAGGAAACAAAGGCTAGCACAAGACAGTAGACATGGGAACTGGAAACTCAAGGGGCTCTGAGCAACTCCATCACAGAGCTAAAATTCATAACAGAGTGCCCTTAAATATCTGGAATTTCCAGAAGTGGGCGTGGTTGCCCACAGGTGATTCAGGTTTCCTGACACAGCACATGGAAACAGGCATAGATAACAGGGGAGAAGGGTACAGCCTGCTGCTAATCAAAGCATGTTTGCTCTACAGTGCTCCAGCAGGAGTGCTATTGGCTGTGCCCAGACAATCTTTTTCTAGATATACTATTAATAAATAATACTCACAACCATTATCTTTTTGCACAGTGATGATATATAAAACAACACAGAACAGTAGGATGCTGACCTACAAAACACCTATCTTGACACTCCAAAAACGCCTCCATTGGCAGTCCCTTGATTAATTAATATATTTACAGGACATATAAGAATATGTATGTGCAATTATAAGAACAGCTATGCATAGAATACAGATATTTGGTAAATGGTTAATTTTTAAAAGACTCAATAGTCTTGAATCTATAGCTGAAGACAAAAGTTGAAATATTGTTTTTGCGGTGAATTTCTATTTAATTCTAAATTGAAGTTCAGTTTGAAATTCAACCAGCACAGGCCAATTACTACGGCACACATATTAAAAATCAGATAAAACCAATTTTCATACTCATATCTGTATGATCAGACTGCCAACCAGCAGGCCAAAGTGAACCACATCTAGGATTTAATAATGAACTCCTCCCTAAGGGTAGAATTTCTTCTGGCAGTCATTTCAGACTAATAGGTAAAGAATTGATTAGTTCAACATAATACAGTGAGCACTGTGCCTTGTGATTCTGCCAAATGTGCTGGAGAGGCTGTTGATATTTATCTCTAAACACATTGTAACCATTGCCTAACAGTGTTCTGTTTCCAGTCGAACAGGTGGCAATTTGCAATCCTTGTACCCTTACCTTTCGGACATTCTCCAGTAACGCAGGATCCTCCCTGACACAGGGGGAACTTTCTGGCAGTGGCGCTCCGAACTTGGTCTGGTCACTCTCTTCCTCTGAATAGGGTTCCTTATCACTTGCATTGCACGCCATTTCACAGAGCTTAGCTTTCAACTCCACCTCCACGACATCTGCATCCCTCTGAGGAGGGCAGCAGCTTTCATCTCTGACGGTTGCTCCCAAAGACCCAGCATTATCCTGTTTGGAATACAGATGGAAATTCAGTGGTGTAATACTTTGTATTTATTGCTGGCTGCTCTAATTTATCAGCTATATTATGAACTGAGTAAACCACAAATTGGAGGAATCATTAAGAATAACATTTATCCCCCAAAGTTTTGAAACATCAATGCATATAACTGTTTTATAGTGGCAAATCCTCTTTTTGAAAGCAAACTGAATGAGTCACAGAGTCATGTCACATCCCACTGAAATCTACACAGTGTAAATGCAAGCTAAGAGATAATAATAATGAATAATAACCATATTTTTTAAAGGCAGAAGTGAGAAATACATCAACCAACAGCATGTCACAGTCTTAATGTTACAATCTAGGTTCAAAAGTCTGCTTATGAATACACCCACTATAATAACATCAAAATGTAATAGTACAGAAGGTTTACATTATGAGTAAGCAGCATGGAGAAAAGATTTATTGTTTTTTAAATTTAAGTGCAGATGTGGAGTTAACTCAAAAAAGTCTGCAAAATAAAGAGAAAAAAATAAATCTGCCATTTGCATAAGCAGTCAGAACCATAAATTCAATATGTGGTGGAAATACAGTACCTCTGGTAGCAATTACTATACATCTGAAGTATTTTTGGATCAGTCTTTACCATCCTTGCATACTGGTTTGGTGCATTATTTGCCCATTTCTCTAAAAATGGCTCAAGCTCTCTCAGGTTGCTTGGGAACTGTTTACAGTAGCAGTTTTCAAGTCTTTCTACAGATTCTCAATACGATTCAAGTCCGGACATAACTGGACAACTCAACTACACTCGTTATTCACCACTCCAGGGTAGCTTCGTTGTTCTCCAATTTAGAGTCTGAATATTGATGGTACTGTGCTCCTTTAATCCTCCTATCAGTTTTGACAAATTTTTCAGAACCTGCTGATGAGAAGCCAAAATATAATATATACTGTAGCTGCCACCACCATGTTTGACATTGGAGACTGATGTTGACTGATTAATGTTAAATGAAATTAAATGCTTTGCATTTAGACCAAAAAGTTTCCATTTCATCTCATCTGACCCCAAAACCTTTTTTGGAGTGTTACCTTTTTTGGATGTTACTAAGGCCAGGTAGGATTTGTTATGGGTCACACAGTGGCATTCCTACTCAGTTTCTTACTTGGCCGGTTGCTCTGTTTGGAGGGATGGCCTAATGTAGACAATGTCTACTTCTTGCTGATTGTCTTCATCATGCTCAACGAGATATTAAGTGTCTCTAAAATGTTTTTGTTCCCTTCTCTTGATCTGTGCTTTTACAGTATATAATTCTATCCCTGAGTTCATCTGTAAGCTTTTTGGGTTCCATGGTTTAATTAAGCTTGATCTTCACTAACTGACAGAGGAACCTACTACTGCAGAGGCCATCCAACTAATTGTGTACCTCAATCACCCATCATCAATGATGTACCTCATTAAGGTCATTTGTGTGCAAAAAAATTAATTCAGGTTTGCCACATTTAATACTACTAATGAATCATTCATTCTTTTATATTAATTATCTATTTATAGTACTTCTATCTGTTTTGTTACTGTGTTGAGTAGGTTGTGTAAATATATTAACTGCTGCTGTAAATTCAAAGTATTATGTTAGCATATTTTATATGAACAAAACATGTGCAAGGTCCTGAATATGCTTGCATGGCACTGTACCTATCAGTATCAGTGTATACTAGTCTCCTGTTACCACCTTGTGGTGAAATAAAGTCTTACAAATTGTAATACAAATTTGCCTTCCACAACAAGAGAGTCATTTCTGCTTATACTGCTTTAAAGCAACATTGCACTAAAACTAGCTAATCCATTTCTTTTCCTTTTGTGGCATATAAATAAACCTGGAAACATAAATTATACACCATACAACATACAGACCAGGCTAGAGTGTTGATAATTGAACAAATAATAATAGTAGTAAGTATTCACCCTACCACTTGAACTATAAAAATAAATAATGAGGTTATGAATTACATTTTTCTATTACAATTTCAGAACAATGCAGCAATTTAACAAAACATCAGATTTAATATTTACATCATATATCAAAGTACTTTGAAAAAAAATCATCTCTGCTTGCCAGCTGTAACAGCACATTTACAGTATTTTGAAGTATAAGGGTGAGTTGTCACTATGTGCAATGATTTATTTTCTTGGCTTCACTCTGAGTGAAACTGTATATACCGAATTCTGGCAGCCAGGGCTTACTTCATCTCCACTAAAGGAATACAGTATTTTGTCTTTAAACTGCTAACTTTGCTATGTTCTTCAGATTGCTGACATGACAAAATGTGAAGGTTTGTCTGATAAGCCTTTGAGCAGAAGTTGTCATCTCACTCAGTCACAAATATTACTTAATCTTCACATACAGATTTCTATTAATATATGGATATATGGGAAAGGAATTTTTTTTTTAATCATTATAATGTTCGGAATGCTTAATCTGTTGCTATGATGATAATGTTACATTTTCTACATACACATTCCTAACAAATGTTCTTGTTAGCATGCATTTCGGAAATATACACACTGTACATACTGTAGATCTGTATCGATATATATGTGGGAGACAAGCCCAGGAGAGTACTGAAAAAACAAACATCATAGTGTCACGATCGTTACTCCTCCTCTTAAGGGCGCTCCAGCCCTTCCTCGTTCTGTCCCATTCCCCACACCTGTTCCTTATTCCAGCCCCTCTTTAGTCCCACCTTTAAAGCCAGACGCAGGCGATTTCTCGGGGCTTCTCATTGATTTCCGTGTCGTGAGAGCCCGGGGTCTTGCCGCGGCTGGCTCCGTTATGGTTTTAGTTTCCTGTTCCTGATTCCCTGCCCCGCCGGTCCCGACCCGGTTCTGGTTTTAACTACAGATGGATCCCCCGGTCTTGGAATAAACCTCCCGTCTTGGATTCCCCCTCTGGATTTACCCTTGGATTGTTCGGCCTGGATTCACTCCCCCCGGACACTAGCACTGCGTGGACACGCCCCCCTGTCTCCTGACCGACTCCTGCATGATATTTTTCCCTATTGTTTCTTCACCTTTTGGATCGTGTCGCCCGCATAGGGCCCGGAAAGAACTGTTCCTGACACATAGAAGCTTAAGATATTAAGAAGGGCTTAATATCTTCTGGTGGTGCAGTGGTTATCATTACTGCCTCACAGTGCTGGAACCCTGGGATCTATTCCAGTCCTGGGTGTGATTTTAATGGAGTTAATATTTGGGTTCCCTCCAGTTGCTCTGGCTTCTTTCCACAATCCAAAACTGTACTGCCATGTTAGTTGTCTTCTAAACAACTCTGTAAATAATTATCCTATTCTACTGTCATTGTGAGATGTTGCAGGATGTGTTATTATAGAAAAAATATTTACTGTAGTTATCTCTCAGGACACACATGTTTAAAATTTACCTACAGAATGAGTAAAAAAAAGTCACAGCCGTGGAAAGGACACTGTGGTATACTACGGTTCCTTTCAGGATACAGAGTTCGACATTTCACTGCTCAAAAAGGTCTGATAGGTCTCACTTAGATGTTACTGAAACTGTAGCTTAATTTAATCATTATTTTTAATTTTAATTTAATTATGTTTTCTTAGTCTAATAATTATATTTCTTGAAATATATCATATCTTATATGTTATATAAAATACACAGCCTAGCTAAAATTTTAATTTGTAACATGGCTGTACAGTTTTTTCTCTGAAAAGGAGTGAAACAACTGAAATTGTTAGTGCTGCAATTTGTCATTATATTGTTGAGGTTCAATATGCACCCCTTAAAACATTTTATTATCATTTTAATGATCGGTTGCAAAACCATGGTTTAAATAATAAAATCTAGATGAAGGCAGTCTACAGGAATGATGTTAATACTATAGTTTATGCACAGTGTGGATAGATATTACTTCATGAAAACTTTAAGTAATATGGCACATTTGTCCATGTATTCGGCTTACTTGTGATGAAAAACTACATGTTGTGAAGGATACACTTCCTGCTCTGCTTTAAATAGAAATAATAAAATACAACTTAAAATTAGTAGAGAAATGTAAAATTAATAAATACCAATCACATATATAAATATATACAAGAATTGTATACAAAGTATTTGTCAGATGTCTCTGTCTCCTTATGTCAGATTAAGTAGTCAAAATATAGAATCAAGCCTGAGGGAGGGGATCTGCAGGACAGCTTGACTGAAAGGCAGAATTGGATGTCTGTGTGAAACACTAATTAATATAATAATTAATTAGCAGAAGCAGTTCACAATATTGTCCACCACCATTTGTATTGGAGACATATCATTTTTATATGAGAAGAACATACTTCTTTTTGTGTTTTGTGAGTGGAATGTATTAATTGTGTATTTCTAAAATTATTTTACATTCAATGAAGTATTATCCACATATATCCATACTGTAAATCAACTATAGTATTAGCGTCATTCTTGCCGGCATCTGGATGCCATTATTTACAAGCTATTTTTGCAAGCTATCATTAACAAGATAAAATGTTTCAAGCAGTGCATACTGTACCTCAATAGCAAACTGCAATATTAAAAATGTAAATACTTTACATTGATGTAAATATAGTTAGTTTTGTATGAGCCACAATGCAACTTTGAGTACAGTACATCAGTCATTTAAATCACTACTCAAAACGTTTTTTTAATCTGCCTCTGTTTTTGTTTTACATTTATTTGCTTTAAAATATGATGTTTTAAAATACACTGTTTAAAATACGTTTATAACAAAATACTACAATAAAATTATTTGTTTTCTAATTACTATTTATTTACAATTACTGTTAATTTTTTTAAAATAAATGTAATTAAAAATGATAATTCTACTAGTGTTATAAAGTACATCATTGCGACATCTCATTTGGAGTTGTGGTAAGAACATGCTGTCTCAACAGTAATCAACAGTAATGTACTGTATTTAATTAAATTATTGGTTGCTAGCATGCAAACAGTATTATCAGCACAGGGAAGCAGTAATGGGTTAATAAACATTAAGTGCTGTACTTATGTGGCTGACTACCACACACAGCTGCTAACTGCACCACCTGGCAGTTTTACACAGTAGTATAGTCCTGTGTCAGTAATCTGAAAAAATAAAAAAGCCATGATGCAATCTGTGATACAACAGTGTCTACCACAGTATACCCAGTGACACCGCAATCATTCTAGATGGTTGCATCTGTATGTGAAAAATAATTAATGTTACACTTTATTACCTAATCAGGGCACAAATAAAGATGCACATGTTTTTCATCATCAGTGTGGTCAATATGGATTTTGATACTGGAATTATAAAAATTGGTTTATTTAAAAGAGGAACACAGAAGTCCACACAATCCATGCCTCTCGTTCTTCTGGAGTAAGCGCAAGACCAGATGGTTGACACCGAAAAGATCTAAATCTTACAATTAGAAACAATATTCATTATATTCATCATATGACTGTATTCACAGAAGCAATGTTACAAAATCCCCTAAATCCTAAACTAGTACTGTAATTAGAAACTCTTCCCTACATGATATCAGCCTGCAATGATATCATGTAAGTCAGTTTAACAAAGAAAATGCAATTACCACATACAGTAAAATGGAGGATATAACGTTACTTATCAATAGCATTTTCTTCTCTTTGCACCATATGTGTTCAACCAATCAATGAATTGTTTATATTGAATTATTTCCATGTTATGTTTTAACATAAATATATCTTTATTTCATCTAATATGTTTATTTAATCTATTTACACTAGAAGACAAACAATATTAATGGTTGCTGAAATGTGTGCATATCATTAAAAACTAAAAAGAGAAAAAATAGAATACACATCCAAAAATTGAAGAGGTGACTGTGATGTCCAGAAAAAATACAATAAAAATAGTAGTCAGCTGGATGCAAACTCTATACTTCAAAATATTTTTTATTAACAATTTTCAAAGCATTTATTTTCCAGTAAAGAGTGGGGATCCATCTGACTATTATTACATAATATGAATTTATTATTAATAATTGATTATTATACACATTCATATTTACTATATACAGTATATCATGAAAATCTGCCTCTGACATTTTAGTAATGACATTTCAATTTATGTTAAGCTAAGAAAATGCTGCTATAGTACTGTATATATACTACAGTATACTGTATATGTCATGGCATTATCCTATTTGAATTAAGAACTGAACACAGAAAAAGGTCTCTATTGCACAAAATGTTTGTATTCTCAATTATATTTTTTTTACACCATAACAAGCGCTTTATTTATTGTCTCAGTAAACATGTGTATCTGGGTAGGGTTCATGGCAGTAACAACAGATGGCAGTAATGACAAGATCAGTAAATGTATGCATTCGTTAGTAAGCCAACTAAAATGTGACTATCATTATAATATCAACACATAATGCATTTTTTTGTTATTTAGATATGTTTTGAAGGATATTGTAAAGTTTACTTATAAATAAACATGGCAAAACCCTATTTTTCAAAATTGCAGTCACAGATAATACACCTCAGTGAATGCAAAAGTAATTACAGATAATTACAAAGTAAGGCTGTTCATTTATTGGTTGGGTCTTTTGCCAGAAAATATTATACTCTGAAGCCAGTCAAATGCTCAGAATAGCTGGGCTGGGTTAGTACTTGGATGAAAAAGATCAAAAGAAAATTAATGGTTTTGTTGGATCAGTGGATGGACTCCCAGACCATAAATTCCAAAACAAAGCTCTCAGTATGTTTACACATGACTGCAGGCTCTAGGGGCATCATATTTTGTGTGAAATGTTAAATCAAGGTCCTAACTACTGTACTTGTGCATATCTTGGAGTTCTATGCTCCAAATGACCTACAGTACCTAGAGCTCTCACTAAAGTATAACTGGCTATGCACAGTCCAAGTGAGCTGTACAGTATGTGCAAAATGGCACAGCATGACAGGAATCCACTCTCACCTGTAAACTGTTTAGGAGGTACTTCAGCCTATAAAACTGCAGAGTAATAAAGATTAGATAACAGTGACAAAGAAAATTCATACTGTAGATGGTTATAATGCACTGATACTCGATGTCTCACTGAACAATCTGATTATTTCGCATTGTGTGGCCTTACCTGATAGCAAGCTGAATATGACATGGGATAGGTGCTGAGCAGAGTGTCGCTTTCATGATATTGTTCTGTAAGTGATAGCTTGCTTCTCCTTCGGCGTCGGGAACGCCTCAAATTGCTGTGGCGTTCCTCTGCCTCGCTACTATCCACTGGCCCCTGGAAGCTCGACTGGGGGTTCAAGTTGATATCCAGAGCATCATGGTGATCAAGGCCGTTCCTCTTCAGCAGCTGTGTCTTGCGAAATCTTGGCAGGCTATTCCTTGCTGATTGCACAGATGAGGTCTCAGAATCAGAGCACATGGTCTCTGTGTTGGTATACTGCCCTGAGGATGGGGAAGTCACAGGCCCAGGCCCATGTTTTGTATAGGTCCACTCAGGATCATGTTGAGAATCAGTATAGTAGGTCTCATCTGACAGCTTCCTGTGCTGCCTCCTCAACTTATCGAAAGTGGAATTCCATCCATATTCCTCATCTTCTGTGTCTGAGCCCAGCTCGTCATAGGCCGAGATGACCCCTGATTCCTTCTCTAAAGTTGCAAAGACCTCACTTTTGGGTTTTGTAAGGAGGCTGGGCCTTGAGAGGAGAGCACTTTGTAAGGCAATCCAGTTCCCATCAGGGCTCTGTAACATAGAGGATGGGCCTCGGGGAGAAAAAATGTACAAAACAACATTAGGTTAATCGTCTAACTTATTATCATTAATCTTGTAATTGAATTTCATGCTTTCTAAACTAATTTCAATGGCATAAAAGTAAACCACCATAGGTTCCTAATAGTAAAATGTGTTTGTCCCAATACTATACTATAGCGTGCATATAAAACATGTTCAAGCTGTCACCTAATTAATGTTAATTTATACAATTAATTAAAATTAAATTACCATGCTCATTTTGTTAATGGGCACTAATCACAATCATCTGTTTTGATCCTCTTTACTGCACTTTACTGCTAAGACTAATTTTACTAGTACAGCTGTACTGTTTCCCATTATTAGGAGCAAGTAGCTTAAGTATAAAAATACACTTATGCAGCAAAGTAGAAAAAGATCTGACAAAGTAAGTAAAGGTGTATCTCTGTTTCACTGTACTGATAGTTTGGGCAAGTTTGACCATGGGTCCTACAGAATTGATGAAGGGGAAATGGATGAGCCTCTTCATCTCACCCCCTGCAAACCTGACATACTTTCACAGAAAGTTCCAGAAGGAAGGGAAGTTATGGACCATCTAATGTACTGTACAGTAGGACAGTACATTGGCAAAAAAAGGTCATTCTTATGAAAACTAAAGCATCCAAGTCAATAAGGACAATGGATTTCTCAGAGAGTGAAACCAACTTAGCATCAAAAACAGATTCTAGTTCTCATTCATCTTCACCATGACCCTTGCATCTGTCATATACAAGGATGGTCAAGGTACCTTTTCCCTGGGAAGGTGTGGTGGAGCGCACTAAAGTTTCTGAAGAGTTAGGATCTGCTCTTAAATGGTCATAACTTCCATGAGCTGTAACATTTGCAGGTTTGGAAGCAAGAGTTGCTAGTAGTGGCCATATACTGCATGGCAACAGCAGCCCATGGAGACCTGGAATGGCTGCTAGATGATGAAAGGCCAGGCAGAGAAGACAGAATTCTGTGCTCTCCAAAGCACATGAGCCCCCAGTCCAGAGAGGCAGTAAATCTCACGGGACCCACAGAAAGAACAAAGATGAATCCCTTGCATGGTGGCAGTTAATGTTAATTGATGTGATGCCTATTTTAAACAAGTCAGGGACCAGATATGCAGAAAATGTACAAAAGGCACAGAATCATCAAGAGAAAATCAAGGGTCTTGTTGGTGATAGAAAACTGGACATGAAGCAACCACTCTGGAAGCATTGAGCATAGATGCATAAAATGTTTTACAGTATTAAAGTAGTAATAAAGGCACCAAAGGCAGATTGAGCAGAAAAGATAATGAATGACACTGAGGTGAATCTACTGTAGGATTAAAATACCAAGAGTACATACAGAGTGAACTTGAATGTAGAAGGAAAAATATGCAACACTAGATTTGGCATGGAGAGATAAGACTGGAATACCGGGACAGTTTTTGGGATATGCCATAGGAAAAGCAGCAAGTATAGTTACAGGAGAAAAGGCACTATACACTGGTTAAACTTCTGCAGCTTTATGGTAAAGTCAGACATGCTTAGGAAAGGAATAGTACTCCCTTAGCTCCAATTACAGTTCTGACAACATATTCTAGGAGGAACCACAGGAGTTCAACCTCTTTGTGAAACTCAGGTATCATTGTGGCATTTCATGTGAGAGCATTAATTGAATTAAGAAAAACATCAGCAGGTGGACAAAATAAGCACTCAGAAGACACAGCAAACATTTGCTATCAAGCCTCTGCCAGGGTAGATCTTTGGTAATAAAACCTCTGAGCCAATGAAGACCTGTTTCTGCTAGAAAAGTACCACTTTAAGGACAGGTCATGGTGGACTAACAGGCCCAAAAACATCAAACAGAGAAATGCCCTCGGACACAGTATTTGTGCGCAAAGACCTATCTCTGGATGAGAGCAACACAAGAATGGCATCCCAGGTGCAGGAGAAGGAATGGAAAAGGGGTTTCCTTTTCTTTTTTATTCAGACCATGATGCTGAACCAGAAGGGAGGGTATACTGCAAACTTTAGTAAAAATACTCTGTAATACTCCCAAATACTTCCCTAAAAATAGGATGAAACAAAATAGAGCATCCAGATATTAGGTGTCAAAGAAGAACATCAAGAGGCACTGTATGTTTGAAATACCACAGCTCTCATGGCTGTGGCTCTGAAACAAGGTGGCTATAGCACTGGTTTGCAGTGGGGGTTACAAAAATAATTGAAATTTTGATTAGCTAATGGGACCACAAGAGCTAATACTGAGACATGAGACTTAATCTGACAAGATCTAAGTTCTTGCTGAGTTAAAAAATGACACTGTGAACAATTCACACTCATATGGACATAAGGCAAGCAGAATCTGAGGTGATATATCCAGTGGTCAACGTCATCATAAAAGCTTAGATGAGATCTGACCATCTGAGGAAGTCTGTCAAACAGTAGCTCCATTAGTTGTCTTCAGATTGAAAGAAAACTTCAGATCACTCACATTTCCTAAATTAATATCGCTTATGACATTCAGAGACATTATGCTCCTGTTATTTTTATTGTCAGCTACCAAAATTTACTTTTAGCTACAAAATTCCATATTGATATTCCATATTAAGTGGATTTAAACATGATAGATTTACTGAGTATTACATATTACTGTACAGTATGTGTTATGTTTTTGTTAAAAAGAAGCTGGAAACAGGGCTACTGATGACTTTTAATAAATTACAGCTTATTAAAGCATTTGTTCTTCGATATGTTATATACAGTCCTCTTTATCTGACACAGTCAAGAAGAAAGAAATCCTATTCATAAACCATAAAAATATTGTGGCAAAATTAAGTCAGAATGACAAGATATAGAGTGACAATATTTAGCTTCTAAAATAATTTAAGTGGCCATAAAAGCTTCAATCCCAACAGGTCTTACTGGAGTTATCCAGTCTATCCATGCTTTTCCAGCTTGGCAATGGGGAAGGTCTTGCAACCTTCTTCAAAGTAGGAAATTCATCCTGTTGCTTCCATATGGCCTCAGACACAGCAACTTTCCAGTCTGGATCTGTCGGCTTTTCATGTGTGTCTTCACCAGTGAGGGAGAAGGCAGACTGAGACCTCTGTTAAATACAAAATATTCAACATGGTGAGAGAATGAGCGATTACTACTCATCTAGGGTTATTGTCAACAAATCAGTAGTCTTAAAACACCACAGCAGATCCATTTGTAACTTGGTCTCATTGGAGCTTTTCTCTACTTACAATAATTAGAATGTGTTGAGAAATTGTCACAATATCATTACAAAAAATGTTTTTTGACACAGTTCTGCAATGATTTCTCAAGTATTGTTCTGATCTGTAAAATTAAGCAATACAGTGCTGTAATTAATGTCATAGATCTTTAGACAGAAATTCAGCTTTGTTGATTTATTGCTTCCCAAAGGCTTCAGTATATGAATAAAATAAATTAATCTGTTAAAAGAAAAGCAAAGAAGAGCAACTGTTCAGACAATGTCTTTTGTGGAGGCTTCTATCCTCCAAACTAATTGCTAATGTACTGTACATATTACATACTGTATATAGGAAAAAGTAGATGTCAATTCTACACTGAAAAGTAGAAAGAAGAAAAACATTTCATCTTTGGAGATTTTTCTATGTTTCAGCATGGTGGAAGGCAGTTTATCTGTGCGAGAAGTGACCCTGAGAATGACAATTAGCAGACTGGCCCAGAGAAACTAGGAAATTAGCTCTTTGAAAGACAGATCACATCCTGTAAGGCAGAGGGTAACCACTTGAGCCTAGGGATGTCACATTCTTCTGATCCATCTGAATAATTGGTTTTAGACTGTAATGACTATAGCACAATAAAATCCAAGAAGAAATACCCTGCATGTCAGTATACTGACTATATGGTACATATTAAGGAAAACATTATTGCTCAGCAATACAGTGACAAAATCCAAACTAAGCCCAAGCATTTTTGTTCCTGTAGGCAGGCGTTCCCAATCCTGGTACTAGAGGGTTATAGATTTTCAATCCTGCTCTGCCCTTATCCATGTGAATCAGTTCATTATTGTTTTAAATTTACCAGATTAACTGCCTTTCCCAGGTCTTCATGTGCTGCTGCTTTTTAACAGAGACTTCAAAAACTCACTAGAACTCCACGACCAGCACTGGGGTTACCCCAGCTATAGGGCAATCCAGGTACAGTACATTGATTGTGCAGAAGGACAAAGCAAGACCACACAGTGTACAAATATAATGGCAGCACCTCAGGAAAACAATGTTAATATGCTACTGTGGCCACCCTTTTCTCATGAGATAAACAGAAAATCTCTGAAAGCAGCAATCCACTGCCATCCACAACCAAAACTAGCCAAATTATGCCAGATAGCAGCAAAAGTACATTACTAAAGTATCCGACAGCAATTTCTCCAGAGGCTGACAAGGTCAATGTTTCAGCACTGCAAAAACTGTGTTAATGCTCAGGATGTATTGTTTTCAAGCTGATATCATGCTTTGTTTCACTCTATATATATTTCAATCTCTCATTTTAAAATCTATTTGTTCTGATAACATCAACCAAAACTATTTATGATAGACTAACATGGTGCTGACATAAAAGACACATAATAGACTGCCTTACAGTCTTCAAAAATGTTGTGACTGTATGTATATACAGATACTATGGGTTGAGATTAATTTAATCTCAAGTGATGAAAAAGTTTATTGCACAGATAAAAATCTTTTGAAACAGTGAACATTGCAGTACGTGAGTAGTGCCAGCAGAGTGCAGTACATAACAGAATCCACTCCACAGAAAGGTTATGTTAATGGACTGCTGTGTTGAAAACAAAAGTAACCTGAGAGTGAAAAACTGGAAAAGAGGCAAATTTTCAAAACCCACTGCAGTGTTTCAGATGAAATGCAAACACTCACATGAAATAAAATGTAGTTGGTGGGTTGTCAGAGGAGAATGAGTAAATAAGACTGATTTTATTAGGACCTGCAATAATATTTTTTTAGTTTAGGACTTTGATAACATACATAGAAATAACATTTCTAAGAAATTGAAGTGGTTTGTCCATCCAAATCACAACTGCACACATTTAGTTCAAATAGCTCAGTGTTGTGAAGAGATGCCAGGGACAATTTGGAAAGTGAAGTGATATTGATATTTGATATTTCCTGAATCCATTCATTTAAAACAACAAGCCCACAACTTAAGCTGCCACACATAAATTTACAAACCCTTCTAAGTCCCCATCTGCGTGCAGGTACAGTATACAGTAAGTCCCAGATTTGACTTTAGTGATTGATTGGATGCCCAATAACGCTGAGTTCTCTGTACCACCTACTTTAAAAGTCCTCTGAACCACCACTGGATAGTACATTTAAAAGCACACCTTACTGACACAAGCACTAAAAGATTTAAGACAGGATGACTTCAGAGAGGCACTTCTGCATTTACAGGACCTCACAACCCAGAGTGTCTCTAGGTGGTTTATCAGCCTCACAAGGCAATGGCCCAAGACTGAGCAAAGATTGTATCAGAACCATTGCAGCATGACAAAAGAAGCTCACATACTATCTGCAGCCACTAACCCCGCCAGGAGGAACTAACCTTTAACTGAGCAACAATTCCTTTGCTTACCCATAAAGAGTAGGAAACGCTGGGGCTGGCTTGAGAGGTGAGGTTACTGTTTTCTGATGTAGTTGGTGAGATCATATCGCCACTCTGGAACCGGGGCCATTCATATTCAAAATCGGTTTTCACCTCTGAGTGTCTCCTTCTTCTTATTATCTGCGTGAGTGGAAAGCATTTCTGAGGCACTTTCACTAAGCATTAAGCTCTGAATGACAATTAAAGCTCTTTGATAGATACAGTAGGTCGGGCTAATTTAAAACATATTAGTCATGTGTGGTGGCATTTACAGAATTTAAAGTTACAGACTGTTCAACCAGCCACCTAATGGTTAGAACTAGTGGGTTAATAATTTTCACTGTAGGTAAAGAAATAAAATGTTATGCCCATTATTTACAAAGTATTCAGAATACCGAAGTCTTACTGGTGCCAGTAAGATAATTACAGTAGATTTAATCCCACTTGTGAGTATATACTGCATGTAAAAGAACATATTTTTCCTTCTTTTTAAATTTGAATTTTCATATTTAAACATAGGTGTTTGTGCAGACTGTGGTAAATTTGTATTTTGCTTATTTTTTTGTATTTTACATTTTTATATTTTATAATAAATGCATTTTCATTTGTCACAGCTGGAAATTTAGGAAATTTCTCATGAATGTTGAGAGTGAAATATGTACTTTTTGCACTATTGTAGTAGCTAGTTCCTCTATGAGCTCTTCTTTGTTGTCACGCAGATAACGAGCTTCATTTTGCTTTTCCTAGAAGACACACAGAGACTAAAATTAGTATGAAGAAAAAAGCACTGCTAAAAAGTGTGATGGGGGTTCACAGTTTGCTACATTAAGGTAATTGTTGCTGTAATAATTTTAACAGATAAGTAAAAGAAAGCTACCACACAATTCTTTATTATTGCACCAATCTTTGAAGCTCACTTTGAAACTGTAAAGGTTGAGTCCAAATCAAAAGTTTACAGGTACTGGACAGCAGACTTTGGAATGAAACAGCAGTTAAGAGAAGACGAACAGGATAAGACGGCTATGAAATCAGCACAGAAGGAGTGTACATGGATTCTGCTTGAACCACAGAGAAAAATGATGATAAGAGTGAGGAAATCTAAAGCAAAAAAAAAACCAGTATCAACAGATCAGTTAGGAAAATATAAGGGGAAAAGGCACTTCATAAAATGATTAAAAAATAAAAAGATCCAGTTAATGAAAAGGAGCACAATGAATGCAAGTAAAAAATATATTAGAAAGGGCAAGAGACAGAGGGAGAGGGATAATGGAATGATAAAAAAGTTGTTTTGGTACTTCAGCATCAAAAGAACCCTGAAGGGTGGAGTAAAATATATTCAGTAGAATAATGGGAAACATCAGGAACAACAGAAGAAAAATGTATGATGTACTGTACTAAATGAGTATTTCACTCAGATGCTCACTAAGGAAGAAATCAACAACATGCCTCAGGAAGCAGAAGGACAAAGTTCTGTACTGAACAGTATGACCACAGCAATGGCTCAGAAGTGTTTTGGGTAGTACAGCAGATGTAATTAATAAATCCCCTGGGTGTGATGGTATCCCATCAGTTGCACTCAAGGATGCCAGAAACAACAGTCACTCAAGAAAATGGTAGTATCCATTGACTAAAGAATAGCAAATGCAAATTAAAAAGCCCATTCATAAGCAAGATACAAAACTGACTCAAGTAACAGTACAGTACAATACAGTACAGTATGTCTGATTTCTATTACAGTATATGTACATTAAGGTTATAGAAACAATAATTAAAATTAAACCAGATGATCACATTTACAGTATGGCAATAACATCCACAGGAATAATCAATAATGATTTACTAAGGTAGTTTAGCTCGTGTTTATGATATGGTGTATTTAGATTTTCAGAAACCTATGATGAAGTTCCACATAATAGATCAATTTCAAAATTATTGGCAGTAGGCATTCAAGAAATTGTGTTTGGATTAAGAACTGGTTAATTCACAATTTAGAGAATAGAGACTAAGTGGAGACTGCTCAGATTGTGGTGATGTACAGTATTTAGTGGGTTATCGCAGAGATCTGTACTAAGGCCATTGTAGCAAAAACTGCACAATGACATTCATTGTGAGAAAACTGAATGGAAGATTATGTTTATCCTGGTTAAATGGGAAAAATTGACATAGAAAAAATAATGTAGAGTTGTGTATTGTAACAATTCTATAATTACAATTAAGTATATGATTATATAATGTACTAGTAAGACCAGTTTTTAATATGTTTTACAAACGTGCTCACCACATCATGGAAAAGATACTGCTGCTCTAGAATTAATCCAAAGTAAAAAAGCCAGATACATTCTGGGCCTGAGGGGAAAATCCTACACTGACAGCCTGAAGGAATTTAACGTTTTAATCCTGGACAGAAAATCCTCATAGGTATTAACAAATACAGCCTAGTTGTTGTCTTTTTTTATAACGAATACTGAATCATAAAGCAGAGGACACAAATAGAAACTATTTGAAAGTATATTTAAAACCAACAGCAGGAAGCTCTTCTTGCTGTGGGGTTCTGGGGGTATGGAATAAGCTACAGTACCTAACCATATTGTTTGCAACCAACACTCTGCTATTTTTCAAGAAAGAAGTACAGAAGATATGATCCTTAGATCAATTAGCCACTAATTAGCCATACAGGATAGATGGGTTGAATAGCTCCCTCCTGTTTGTAACTATTTTTATGTATTTCTTAAACCCAGAAATATTTTAATGAATATTAACTGTAAAATATCCAAGTGGCAACATGCAGTTTTAATCTAGTAATACTTTGCTTAAACTTCTTTATAGAAGGTTTATGTAACGACGAGTACAGTGAAACATGTGCAGTGTTCTTTATCCCATAATTCCATTTTACTCTGATGTGACTTTATTTTATTGTATATTATTCTAAAAATTGAACATACTGTAACATTTGGATAAAGACTGCTTGATCTTCAAACTGCCCAATTACCAATCGCTATTGATGTAATAGAAACAAATATGTGTCATTCTATTTCACATGGATGTTGTTCTACTTTTTTTCTGTATCACAACAAATAATTTTGTTAGAACTAAAAAAAAAGGCTCCCATTTATTTTGTTTAGTGTGACAAAGCAAAAGGAAGGTATAAATGCCCTTAACATTTGTAATGATTGTTATTCAATATTTGATAAATTGAATTAAAATCCAAAAATGAACAGTAAAAACTCCAAAAGCAAAAACGTAGTGGAAAGGAGGGGTGGGAAATTTCTTAAAAGTGGGCACTGACAATGTTGCATTTAATGCATTTAATGATATTCCTTAATTTTTAGACATACTGGATTGTAAGTAGAATAAAATTAAAAGCATTAAGATGGCATCGTTTTTTTAAACCACTCTTGATTCTCTCCTTGATAATTATTTGCTGCTCTCATTGCTGAACAGTGGTTATATGTGCGTTTACTCCAGAAAATGATTTCAAACAAAGAATTTAAAGACATGGGGACACAAGAATGCCTGCAAATGAGTAGAAGCCATTAGAATCATTTGGTTTAAGTAGCTAATTGTTCTGATGATCTCATCCAGCCTGTTGACAGATACAGTACAGTACCATGGTTCTGGATTCAATGGCATGGTTAGATACCTCGTTTCAGACTCCCACAACCCTTAATTTTGCTTTTGCCAGTTTAGTTTTGCAGACACTCTTGTACTCTGAACAACAGCAGTCTTGAGGTCATATAAACAATCTACAGATATGGATTTCTCCAATTTGGAGAAGACGGAAAATTTGTATCTGGAAATAAAAAAAATGCTTTTGAAAAACTTACCAAACTATCACTGTATTCCTCAGCCTTAGATATCGCTTCTTCTATTGCCTCCTCAGCAACACGAAGAGCAACCATGAGTGTTTCAGCCATACTGTGTCCTTTTTAAAGACAAGAGCAGGAACAACAAGTCAAGTTCAAGTCAAGTTCAAGTTCAAGTTTATTGTCATTACACTCATATACATGGTATATGGTATAACGAAATGCTATTTAGCTAGCTCTCGGACATAAGTAGTACAAAGAGAAAAAACAACAACAACAACAATACAATTGTGTAGCAAAAGAAAGACAGAGACAACAGGCAGTGTGCAAAAAAACAAGAACAGGCAATGTGCAAAACAACAAAAAGGTAACAGGTTATGTGCAAAAATATGCATCAACAGAATAAAATAAAAGGATAGAAATTATGGGGAGTGAGCTTTTGACATGTATGGTAGGGATAGATTTTCAATGTGTGTTTGGGTTTTTGGTAAGAAGTAAGAAAGGAAGAAGGCACTGTGAGGTTCAGATCATAGGTGAGAAGTGAGGTGAGAGTGAGAGTGGCTGGGAATTTAACAGTTTGATAGTGCGGGGGTAAAAACTGTCTCTGAGTCTGGTAGTCCGGGCCTGAATGCTCCGGTACCATTTTCCAGATGGTAGCAGATCATAAAGTCTGTAGCTGGGGTGTGTGGGGTCCTTGATTATGCTTAGAGCTTTCCTCAAGCACCGTCTGTCATAAATGTCCTGTATAGATAGGAGGGTGACCCCAGTGATGGACTGGGCAGTTTTCACCACCCGCTGAAGGGCTTTGCGGTGAGCAGCACTGCAGTTGCCATACCACACTGTGATGCAGTGTGGTATGCTTGGCTGAACTTTTAAGTGTCTTAATAGTTCAGTCAAGCATAATAAAGTAGAATGAATTATTCCCATATGTGAGAAAAGGTGTGGCATGCTGAGTAATTAGTAGTTAAAGTTGTAATAAAATAAAATTTTCCTAAACATAATCTGGGATTTGTACACCACCCAGTGTTTTAAACCAAGAAAAGCAGGTAATTGCATATGGTAGTTAACACCAAAAGCTTCAACAAATAAACAGAACTGAGTAATCAGTTTTTAGTATAATTACAGGTTTTAAAGATTTGTATTTACAGTAATTCATAAAACGGAAGTTGTGAAACACAATTGTATATTAAACAGCAATAAATAAGTATAGTTATGGCACAGAAACATAGTCAAATACGTCTGGTGGCTTTTATTCTTATTATTCCCAAATTGGTATTTAGAAATAAAAGAAGCACTAATTAGTTGCAGCAGTGTGATGAAAAATCCAGCTGGATCTAAGTGCTATTGCAACTAATAACAGCCGTTTTAGTTTTCATGGAAAGAAGGGGATGCCTGCACAAGAATTTCAAATATAAACAGGAATTTGCTTTGTTTAGGTCCCATTGTACAAATTAATTTTAACGTTTTTTTTTCCTTTTTGTACCATCCACAACTGCTGAAAATGAAACATTTTTGGTCCTTTCTAATCCTGTTTTACTAACACACTCTTCTTTCTGTACTCCACTCCCGATTTTGCATAAAACTAAACCAAATAATTGGGAAAAATGTTGCTAACTGAAAATTGCATTGGAAATGCAGCTCAGCGAAAGTGGAGAATGAGACCAAAGGAAGAATGATGAAGTGTAGGCAGATGTGATCCGACTACAGTGGAGCTAATCATATTCAAGACATCACAGAGTCCGATCTGCAGGAAGTTCAGTGTCGATCTGTGGGAGAGGCTTGACTCTCACTAACAAACCCCACTTTGTGGGGGTTGTTGTACAACTGAGAGCCAAGAGAACACTACTGTTTAATCTCAACCCATCCCTCGGCCGCACTCGGACTCATACCTTCTCCCGTAAGCGTCCTGACATTCCCACACGTGCTAAACTCCACACACGCTCATCCAGGAACTAATTATCCAACCACGTCTCTCTCTCTTCAATATTTATCACTGGCTTACCTACAGTACGCTCACTATTGAGAAGTCTTCCACAGCTTTCTGTTGTGCGTGCTACTATTCTCGATCTGACTCCTTTCGCTACCCGACCCAATTCTCCTACTTTTGACTTCGCTCTTGCCTAACGACTTGGATTTGGAATATTGGATTTACTTTTGCTCGTACTACCTTCCTCACGGCTTCGCACGGGGATCCAACAACTCACCCCTTTCAGAAACCCTGTCACACTCAGTGAGTTGTGTGCTACTGCTTGGGGAATCGCAGTCACACTTTGAAGCTGGGGACATGGCCAAGGCCTGTACACTCAACTCTGGATTGTAGACTTCAGCCTGTGTTCAGGTGAACACCTCTCCCCAGCATAGCCACTCAGGAGCTCCTGTACAACAATTTTCATTTCTATTTAAAGTTAGATATGCAGGGGATGATTGCATTAAAGTGGCAAGTGCAAGATTATTTGCTCTCGAAAGCTGCTTTGTTATAAACCGCAGCAAAGTGAACTTTTGCTTCTTACACTCCTATTTCAACATCGAAAAACAAAAAAGAAGGGGTTCCCATTACTAGTTTTGGGAGCCCCCACACCTGCTGGTTTTCATTGCAAGTGAGGTCTTTGCTTAAATGAATCTTTAATTTCATAATAAAAACTGTTCTTAGTTGGTTATTGGGTTGCTTGGTTAGAGTCTTTACAAGTTTTTTCTTTGTCCACTCAAAGTTTGGTAATTTTAAGTTACTTCCACCTATCCATTTTCTAACCACTTCATCCAGTTTACAAGGCCAAAACTACACTGTAGCGGCTTAAGAAAGTGAACATAATTGAGTGGCTCAGGTGAAGTCCTGAGTTGAATCCTATTGAGAATTTGTAGAAAGACGTGAAAACTGCTGACCATATACATACGCCAAACAACTTGAGTGATCTTGAGCCAAACTGCCAAGAAGAATTGACAAAAACTACACCCAAGCTGATGTGCAATTGTGGCAGAGACTTCCTAAAAATACTTTGGGCTGTAATTGCTACCAAAGGTGCTTCACCTTTGCCTGAAAATGTAATTCAGGGGTCAATATACTTATTTTATGTAATCCGAATATTTGTTTATTTTAGTTATTTAATTTATTTTCTATATCTTATTATATTTTTCTCTAGCATTTACTGTAATCGTACCTCATTTCAACATTCAGGTTTGAAAAAATATTAAGGTTTTAAAACGTGTTTGCATACTGAATACTCTTCCTCTGAAAAAGTCTTGAAATGGAACATATACTGTATAATCTCCTTATAGACTTACTGTAACCAGGAGAATGTTTGCAAGAGATATCAAATATTGGCACTGAAGAGCCAAGTCCTATCCTTATAGGAATACCTTAATAACTCTGGTTCTTCAGTAATACATTACAGTGTAAACTGTTATTATGAGTTTAAAAAGACCATTTAAAAGGATACGTGCAACATTCTTTATGTTGCAGTTTTATAATATTGTTACAGGCTGCGATAGGTGACAATGGATGTGTCTAAGAGTCTAGATAAAGTGTGTAACAACTGACAGTGTAAACATTTCCAGCTTCAAAGTAGAGGGGGGTGTTTGCTGAGATGTAGGGGATCCAGATTCTGTGATTAGTTCTGAGTAAGTGATCAAGTGTCAATCAACAGTCCAAAAACATACCATATACAGTAAGATCAGCTCAAGAGAGAAAAGAGGGGAGGAAAAAGAAGGTCAAACTACACGAGAGAGAAGACACAAACAGACGGGACTTGAAGCTTGTGCCAGGCGAAAGTCCCTTCTTCATGATCACTCAATAAAAACCCGATTGGTGGTACTGTAAGTATTTGAATCTTGCCAAGAGAGCTTGCTATTCTGTAGCTTTTAGGGGGAACTTGGAGCTCTTGAGTGAAGAATAGCTCAGTTCAATACTGCCTCTCCTGCTTACTGGGTGCATTTTAGGACAGGGAGACAGGCTCACATTTATTTTGTGGCATCTAGGTTAGAGAGAGAAATTTAATCATAGGTTGATGGCAGCTTATCTCTTCCTTTGCCTTTGTAGGCATTATTTAAGAGTCAAATACTGTACGTGGAAGCAGTCTGGGGTTTTCTGGGTAGTCCAAACATACTGTAGATCTCTGAAATGCCTTGTTTGCTAACTTGTAAATACATTTACTTATGTTTTGTATGTTGATGCTGTGTAGTGTATTGTGTCACTGTCATTGTTAATAAATATTTGTTCAAATATACCACAATTATTATTCTTTCCACCAGAACTTAACAGAAGGAAAGTTCACATGCCTCTAATTATACAGTATCAACCAGTTGGGTATATTCTTGGAAAAATTCTTATAAGTTGGGAGTTACGATTATTTTAGCAATTGATTGTTTTAGTTTAGTCGCTCATTCAGTTCCTTTTATTCTTCATTGTCCTAACACCCCATTTGTAACAATATAGAAATATATGTAATGACACAAAAATGACAGTTGTAATATTTAACTATACTGTATAAGAAAAACATATACAGTATTTTCACGTTTAAACCATTGGTGACAGATTTAGCAGATTTAGAAAAAAAACAAAAAACAAAACATTTCTGTTTCTATAGATCCATCCATATTTAAAAATGAAAAAGCAAACCTTACCCACATTTTATTTGTGCGTATACAAATACAAAATATAAGTAAGAACAACATGAAAATACACTTTTTCATTTACTAAACAAGCTAAAAGCTTTCCACGTTCAGCTCAGTCCCATGCCAGCAATTTAGGTTTTTGATTTAAGCAGCACTTAATCATTTATGCACAATCTCACAAAGGCATTTGACACATCTAAATCATTTATGTTTTTCTACATTGTAAAATAAACAAAACATTGAAAAATGCAAAGCAGTGTAAAGGTCAAACTATTTAATGACTAGGCATGGAAGCTGAAACCTTATGTTAGAGTAAGGAATCAAAAGGTTTTTTTTACTGTATACACACAAAAGATGCATTGTGTGTCTTTTTATTCAAGACAGGGTGACAATAGCACTACAAGCAGGTTACACCCACACAGCTTGACTAGCTAGTAATTTCAAGACTGATGTCACTGTTGTTATTTTATTACACTCTATCTTAACTAACCAATATGACAACTGCTGAGCAGGCACATACTATATTCCTTAAGCCACAAAAGATGTTTCACCCTCTTGTGCGGGCACTGAGCTCCCAAAGTAACAAGCTGGCCTTGAGGCCTTGATACAGCTCCATTGGGGGCTGCCAAGAGCATAGAGCAGATATTCCAAGATGATACACAGGCAGCTTCAGGGCCAGATTTTGGTGTTTGTAGGCCCTAGGCACTTTCAATATGAAATATGTCAAAAGAGGGGTAAATGCCAACTAAATTACATGCACTTTTAACCTATTCAAATGCTAGACCACGTTATTGATGGAGCGAGTCAAGCGACCATCACTTCGATACTCCTAGTTTCTAGAACAGCCGCTAGATAGCATATGATTATTGATTTGGAGCACCTAGAGTTGATCGCAAGCATGTTATTTCAGCTCATTTTACGTTAGTCACTAGTGTTTCCCTCCTTCACAGACCCTAAAACTTTTGTAGACCCTAGTAGGCACAGTGCCTAATGGGAAATCTGGTACTGGGCAGCTTGTGTGTCATTTGATCCAATTGTGTATATGGCAGCTTGCAGCCTTTTCATGATGCACAAAGGTTCTGACCAACAGGACTTTAGTTTTTTGCTGTGCCGAAGAAGCTGGACACTCTTCAATTCCAGCTCCTGCTGATCCCTGCACAAATCAAACCCCTGTTGCATACACCGTTGATTGACTTCCATGTGCAAATGGGGATATACAAGTATTGCAGGGTATGTGGCGTAGGCATGGGCACTACATGTCCTGATCCAGCAGCAAACCACCTGTTGTTGCATGTTTGTTGTTGTTTGTTGTTGTAGCCCCTGACTAATGTTAAAGGGGCTACTATTTTAAACAAAAGAAGTCCATTTATTGTGTGACACACCTGCTTTTAATTTTTTAAACAAAAATGTGTTTATTAAAATAATGTAAAATACTTTTATCCGTAAGATTTTTAACCTACACATTTATAACTTATATATAATACAATTATACATTTTGTCAATATGTTGTCCCATGAGCTGTACAGTACATGATGTAGTTCTGCTCTTCCTGTTTGTCCTCTGCTGGGATTGGACCACTGTCACAAGGAGGTTCAGAGCAGACACGGCACCTAGGCAGTGCTGAACTTGGCAGCTACTGTAGAACAGCACCTTATTGACAGTGATGGCTTGAAACTAATGTTATGGACATGCTATGGTTGAGCATTCTGACTGACACAACTTGCACAGAAAATTGAAAGAAAATGAAAATACAAAAAAGAATAAAATTCTTCCCAACATCTTCTAAGAGACACCTACTCTATTGCAATTACTTTATCTATGATTCCACTCTGGTTCTCAAGAATAATACTGGCATATCCCACCAGAATTCAATGGATTATCGGTAATGGCACTCTAAACAATAGTGGGATACAATTCAATATTCATACCTTCGCTTTGCCTGTAGAAAGTTGAGTCACTGCCACAGATGCTTCCCTCATTTTCAAAGCTGCCTTCGTGAATGCTACCATCTGCACAGAAAGGGAAAAGAGAGAAATCGTTATTGATAACTATACATATATATGTGTTATACAATAAATAATATACAGTACTGCAGTATAGTAATACCAATCTATACCTATATTTTCATATTCATTTTCATTTCATGTGCTGTTCAATTGGTCATAAAATGCTCATGTGGCATGGAAAAGACAGAGATTTAGTGCCATTTACTATTGAAAGCTTATTCATGTTGCACCAAATTGATAGCTGAAGATGCTGCAGGAGACACCTCTGTGAATATTTTAATGATACCATCAAGGTGTTTGTAAGATGTCCATTTGAATATTCATGTGACTGTCTGGGTATATGACTGTGCAGACATCCAGTCTGTGAAACAGAACCTGTTGTGGTCAAGGAGAATGCAACACTCCAGTACTGTATTACCAGGACAATGTCATAAACCTAATAATTACTGTAGCTGCCTGGATCACATGTTCATCTGTAGGAAGGCAGGGTTCCTAACATCGATTGTCCTTCCCTGTCAGATTGATTACAAACAACAAAATCCTGACATTTTTGAGAGTAGTTTCCTACTAGTAGACATCAGTGTACAGTATATATTTATTAGTATTTCAGATATTTTTGTGAAATACAGTACTTCATCAGCACCACACTCAGCAATAACAGACAAACAAGTTTGTAGTTTAGCTACAGACAATAATCTTAAGGGGATGGGGTTTCTCTCAGAAATATGTTTTGAGCCAGCAACTGGTAATTGTTAAAAACATTTGTTTTACTTTTCCATATGTGTCATACACTAAGGAAACTGACAACTACAGGACAGGTACGACTGGCTATGAATGACCAAATTACTGATCTCTGAGTAAAACACATCAGTTGTTACTGTACAAAGTAAAAAAAAATATCTTGATTAAAAGCTGAATAGGGACGACTAACACGTCAGCACATCCAATAGCACATTTTGAATCCTAAGAATTTATTTAATGAAATATGTTAAGAAAAGGGATTAAACAATCTGAAAACATATATGAACCACAAGCCTTTCTATTATATTTCTGTAGGATAGATACAGTATTAATGAAAAATTAGTGTATTGAAAGAAAAAATAACAAAGGCTTCCACTAACAGCACTTGTGGTAATATATACAACTCCTCACTCTAAAGTCTCCATAAAGCATTTTTATAATTTAATATAATTGTGTACTGGAGGTGCATTACTTATACAAGTATGAGCTATGATACAGCCATTTATTATTCTGTAACTTTCAACTTTTAGCAAACAATGAGGGCACACAGATGGCTGGCTCAGTACATCTCCAGAGAAGTACTGTAGTTTACAGAGCCTCAGGTCAAGATACAGGCTGCTTAGTGGGATTTCTGCAATTACTAACCAATCAGAAGTCTGGTACTAAGCCAGACTTATACTAAGGGGTGGCCTAAGAGGCCAGTGCGGTTGGCTAGGAACAGAAGGTACAGTAGGTGCTGAACATGCCTACTCAGTATATCCTAAACCATTTTACCTGAACTACCATTAGGTGGAGACCACTGTACAAGATGCCAAAACAGAAGAACTGAATGACCAGTTAAAAAAAAAACCTGCTAGTTTTTCAGAAACCATAACTCAGCCATAACTCTCTCATCTGCTGGAATAGATAAAGCAAGGCACTGTCAGTTTCATTTTCCTATAACCCAAAGTTCCATTAATACAACATGCAGCATCAACAGCATATTGTATATTAATATAAATAAATATGCTAAATACCTTTAGGAACACAGCCCCAGATTCAGGACACATATTTTGTGTTGGCAATATCGCATCATTGGACAGAGATATGGGTCACATGGAGGCTTTCAAAACAGGTACCGTTTTATATGTTAGTGCCAATCTCAAACACCAATATTCAAACAGTATGGTATGCAAGGATAGCCATATTGCTCTTGGACCACAGAGATACTCCTTCATTTGAAGTGTAACATTAGGATCAGGAATGTTATTTGATTAAAACTGATGGTGACTTAGCTGGCCTCACATTCTTGATCAGGTCTAGTAGATAGTGAGCAAGTGTATGATGTTGAGGTAGAGAGTCTTGATTTTAGTTCTTTGATCTACAGCAATGAGCATTAGTGAACAGAGAGTTTAAGGGATTAAATTGATGTTTGTTTACTCAAAATGTGAGTAATACTGTGTATGCGCTACCACTCCTCCACGTTTTGCCAGAAAGAAGGGGAATATCTCATGTGTTAATGCGCAATTGTGTTTAGCAATGATGTTGAATAAAGATGCCACCATTGTTGCCAGCTGACAACCAGATTTATTGATCCTCCACTACTTAATTACCATATGCGAAACAGAGCATACTGAGATGGATGAAGCACTGATTAAACATTCCTGCCAGGAAAATCCCCAGCATTCACAGCGTTCTCAATAAGCTGACACTGTTTTAAAGAAAGTACATAAATGAGGAAAAAAATTCATTCTGGGATTGAAGAAGAAGAGATCTGACGATAGAAGGAACACCAGTTTTTCAGTCTTGAGAAAAGACAGCTAATTCAGAATTCATAAGGGAATAAGGCTGACCCAATAATAATTTCAAATCAATTACAAAGAACAGAACACAAAGAAATTACCTGAAGCTTTACAAAATCAATCAGATTTACATAGAAAGTAAAAAACAATTCTTATCAAAATCACATTGTTTAAGTGGATGCTGGGATCTTTCAAACTAGGTTTAAGGCTCAGTGTCTAGGACATAGGTTACAGTGATGGGCTGAATGGATTTTTCTATCATTAACTTTTTGTGTTCTTACAGTATGTTCCAATGTGATGAATACACTATGTATCTGCTAATGTTGTTATTTGTACCTGGTGGAGTCATGTTTCTTTGACAGTCACATCACCTAATCACCTGCTAATGAGACACCGCTGATGACATGCATTTTGTTTCTTATACTCTCCTAGCATTTAGGTATAAACACTTAATTACCTTTGTCCTTTGATGTTTTGTTATTCCATTTTGACTTTAGTTCCTGCACAACTTCCTTGTTCATTCTGATGAAACCCCCTTCCATTCTAAATGTTTCTGAAGTTCTCTTTGGATACTTTTTACAAAATGACTAATGCCAACCTCAATTTGACGTAATCCATCCGTCACAAAATATTTCCAGAGGCTGAGAAATCTGAAACTTTCTTCATCACACCATGTCCTGTCATCGTCACATGTTGTTTTTTACACATTAACATTTGAAGGTGTCGCCTCTACATGGCACAGGTGGGATTCCTGCGAAAATTCACTTTGATCCTACATTCTTCTTTTTCCAAGCAGTTGATGATGTACTGTAGATGAAAAGCTTTCTACATGTCTACAGTGTCACGTTTCTTTTTGTTATTATACAGACGGCTTCATCAAAGAATTGCCAGATCAAGATTGTCGACCGGTTGTTCATTTTTCACATTGGTCTAACAGATGTCCAAATAAGAACACAACGCAGAAGACTAATGTGCAGTTAAGCGTGCACAGAGAATGTCTGTTACAATGGAAAGCTGCTTCTTAAATACAGGTCATCAGTCCCCTCTACAGTTCACAAAACACCTGTTTTTGGTGGAGCTTATCAGCTCTATGTATGGCGTCAGCCACCTCTTCTCCAGGGATACTGTACATACGTTTGTCATATTTGGGCCTTTGATGTATATCTCAGATACAGTGTTCCTGTTGATGGTTCAACAGCCTCATCCTTTTTTTGTAATTCTGGTGCAATGCCAGCATTGGATGTTAAGTCCGTAGTCTGAATTTCAGGTGGTGTTGTGTGAGGTGCTGCCTTTGAGCTTCTAAGTCTTGGTTGACTGTTTTCAGGTCCAGGAGTGGAAAAACAATTGCTTGTTATGTGGTGCTACTAGGACAGGTTACTTTATTTTATTTTCTTTCACCATCTAGAACCAGATTCTCTGTCAGGTTTCTCCGACAATAAAGGTTATGCTGTATCAAGAAACTTAATTTTAAAATTGCCAGTTCTTCAATCTTTTGGAGCCCTTTATGTTCCTTAATCTTCTTCAGTGCATTAACCTAACTACTTTAAGCTGTAACTGCATTTTGCAGCAGCTTCCAGAGAACAATTCCAGCTGTTGGATTTCATCCAGAATGTTTAAAGGTTTTTTTTTTTTACGAGCTATAAAATGGTGTTCAGTCCTATGCGAATTTGAAAACCCATTTGTGCTTTCAAGAGTAATGGTTTGCAAGTTTAGAAAACAGTAATTTGAAGAAATGAGACGAAGCTCAAGGGAAGCACTATGCGATGAAATAGATATGGAAGCACTGGGGTATGGGTATTCACATTTCAAGTTTATTGCTTGAGGCATAAGACAAACACATCTATATTTAGGTATAACAGGTCAGTTAGAAAAACTGTATATTCACTATTAATTATTAAAATGACAATCAATACAAGGCTATAGTAAAAACTGTAGAGCTTAAATCAAAGGAAGTAATCTTAAGATTGTACAAAACACTAGTCAGACCTAATTTAGAAAGTAGTCAAATTAGAAAGGATTAAGATAGTATCTGCTGGAACATACCATACAAACTACACTGCAGCACCCTGTAGTATTCGTAAAGTATAGTGTAGTAGTTTTCTGGGGCAGACGGGAAGCAACAGATTCAGATACAATTCCAGGACTGACTATGTTATTAGCAGAGGGCTAAGCCTAGCAGCCTTCACATTAGTTTGGTAAGGGATATTATTACAACATCTACAACAGTCAGAACCCTGTTGCAGAGATACCTTTTCAGAGATATCCTGTGTTGAGATAACCTTTCAGAATATCTTCAGAAGGGGATGGGATGGCTAGCACTAAAGAAACATCTCTTTCCCCAACATTTCATGGATAAACCTGTTCCTTTTCACTACTCCAGAGGAGCCATCTTGAAAAGAATATTTTCAAAACCTCAGAAACATCAGGGGCAATTGAGTCTTGCTCTACATCATGCATCGTCTCAATTGTCTCTGCTCAGCT